CATTCACGTTTGTCTGCCTCCTATCCTAACTTTCTACCTTGCATGCGCTGTGTGTGCGTGCGTAATGTCGAAGTAAAAGGCTTCGCCCTTGCTTAGGCACAGGTGTTCTCTGCGACGACATGGTGAATTCGACGAAGAGGTCGTCGAATTGGCTCTCGGGTTCAGACAAAAGAGATCGTCGACCAGCCCGTCCTCTGACCGACGGGGTGGTTTTCGACGCGCGAACTCTCACGGGCGGGGTGCTTTTCGACGAGCCTCGTCCTCTGATCGAGGGGTGCTGTTCGGCAAGCCTCGTCTCTACGAACTGTTCGAGCGACAGAGAAATTATGCTGATGTGTGCAAATTTCGCTCAGGAGATATGTGCATAGTCGACCTATGGAACGGCATCACGTGCTAGACGGTGGACCTGCGCAATGTGCCTGACGAACCTGTCGACACGTTTTCTACCTGGCACCTGCGCAATGTGCCTGACGGTGCAGCTGTCGACCTGCACCTACTTGGTAGGTGCACACATGTGCGCAGATATTTACCCGGGAATGCAGTGCTGGCAGGCCGCACTTCGACAGTGTTGGCAAGCCGCTCTGCTGTTGCGCTGTCAGTTCGCCTTGCAGAATGCTTGCTTGGTGTTGCAATGCCTTCCTTGCTATATCGACTTGCACGCCTCATTGTAATCTATTGTTCTTCTCAATTTCTTAGTGAAACTCTTGCCAAAATTCTCTATGAATATAGCAAGTAGTAAGAACGTTAGTAGAACGCTACGATCACCCGCACAACCCCGTGCCCTCCTCCGTAGTCCACTCCCGTTGTAGGGTGACTCTTCGCAAAGTGGACCAGGACCAAGGGCAACACCTCAATGCTGAGGGTCTGGGGTTGCATGGTGCAATACAGGCCGACTTCTGCTACCATCGGCAAGTTTACCGATCGCGCACGCTGGGGGATTCATCTTAGGATTAGCTATGAATACAAGGGTTGGCTGATCCTGGACCTCGACCCCAACAAGATCGCACCTGCACAATACGTTCTCTTCTACGAACACCTCACCCTCGCAAGTTACCTTGAAGACCGACAAGCAAGAGCAACACGGGCCTACGCCAACAGCGGCAGGAGCTTCGCCTCTCCAGAAGACGAGGCAGCTGCCACGGCTCTCGATCGCGACCCCACCGATGAACACCCTGGCGTACCTCCTCGCCCGCGCAACGACGATGACGATGGCGATGACGATGACGATCGACAGCGCGCCTGGCCCCTCACGCCGTCGAGACCCTGCAAGGAGCGCTCCGCCCGCACACGAAAGCGATGACGACGACGTGGGTGAAGTAACCACTCAGGAACGGCATGGTGTTGTGAACGTTACGGGTCTGCAAATACTCGGCCTACATACCGCCACAGCCACCGCTCCGCGCGTCGTCGAGCCTAAGAACCCGCGACAGGCATACGAACGAATTAGGTAATGCGCACCTACGTCGGCTGTTCTAAAGGTATCGTTGCAGGGCCGTCCACGCTCACCGCACCATGCGGAGATTAACTCAACAACGGGAGCTAGACTACGGGGGAAGGCACGGTTGTGCGAGTGATCGCATCGTTTGCTTGTGTTCTCTCTACGCACACATTCACGGGGAGAATTGGCAAGAGTTTCACTAGCAAAGGTTCACAACAATGATAGCAACAAAGTTGGCAACAATGACTACATCAGATGCAAGGTTGCCTAACACACAGGCAGGTCGACCTCCAGCGCAGCAAGGTCGACCGCTCTCCAGCACTGCAAAGTCGACCACAATCCAGCACTGGAGCAAGGCGACCGTCCAGCGTTGCATCCGCAGGTGACAGCAGCGCACACGCTCACGCCTCATTCGCAGGTGCTTGCATATGGTTGGCCCAACGTGCACCGTCACGTGCAAGTCAGCCCATGTCTGCGCTTGATGAGCCACGTCGACTTCGGGATACCACTCCGAAGTTGGCTTCGCCAGAACCTCCTAGGCGACGGTCGCGCACCCCCGCAGAACCTCGTCGCACGGGTAACTTGGTCGACCGGGCAACGACCAAGTCGGCGTCGACTTGTGTGGCCGGTGTCGACCAACTGCTGTATGTGCCCGTCGACCACTTAGGTCGACGACCTCCAGCCGACTTCACCAAGTCGGCCACTCCACTGGTCGACCATTTCTGGTCGACCAGCCCTGCTGTTCACCGACTGCACCAAGTCGAATTTCCCACGTCGGCGCCATCAAGTCGACCTCCAAAAGTCGGCGCCCTCCTAAGTCGGCGCCCCTCCCAGGTCGACGACTCCCTTCGTCTACCACATGGCTGAAGTCGGCCGCCGGCTCCTGTCGTCGGCAGCTTCACAGTGGCCCCGTGCAGGTCGACTAAGGCTGTCGACCTGCTCGCCCAAGTCGGCGTCGCCCACTGCAGTTGATCGGCTGCACCTCCCGCACACCCGACCACGAAGCCGGCTCCGCCCAAGCGGAGACGGGGCCAACTCCCGTTAACAACATCACTTCATAACGAAGTAGCGCACCTGTACCAGTACCGCGTTAGCTCGTATGTAGCACGCGAATGTCAACAGTCACGCGAAGGTCAACAGTCGCAAGAAGTCAATGGTCGCGACTGCAACATGATAACAGTAAGGATCACAATATTTACAGCAACTGCGTCGAGGGGTAAGCCGTCGAGGGAATGTACCCCTTAGAGTACATGGCTAGCTAGGATTGTTATATAAACCCATTGTAGTGCTATCGTTACTTGCTTCCTTTCAACTTATTATCAACAAGGTCACTCCGAGACTTCCCTGTATTCACTCTACTTGGCTAGCTTTATCCTTTCGATGTCTATTCCTTGGTTATATCAACAAGAAGGTAAGAGAAGGAGTGAGGAAGAAAAGGGAAAGAGGAAGGTGATTTTGTGTAACAAAAGAAGAGGGTGTTTTTGTGTGTCATCGTGGGGTGCCCATTTACACATTTTTAGCATTATCCATAGAAACGAACAAACAGCAGTTCGATGCCAAATTTTCGTGCTGCAGGAGCTTGTCTTCGAGAGAATCGTTTTCTACTGTCACACGCAGAAGAGCTCCCGTTCGTGAGTTCGTCTCAAGCTCCAGCAGAATTCGGAATAATCATACACGTATCTGCAGCGAAGGATTGGTGGTGTGCATCGCGAACGAAAACGGATGGAGGGACCTGCTTGGTTGGCATGGTGACCACTTTGGCTGCTTCGGATCAGACTCGATAAACTGTATGAGCCTAGCCAACATCGTAGGCTTGGTAGCTGGTTCAGTTGCCGACTTGTCATCCCCCTCGGCAAGTGCAAAAACAGTCGGTTCAGGAAATCAGCTGGGTAACATACGGTAGGATACTTAAAAAGAACGTTACAAAACGATGTACTCCGGTTTTGTTAAACGTTCAATATCGAATGGAGTACTGGATAGAGTTCTTCCACATTCCCGTGTTTCCAAACCGCGAATATATCGTGAAGATCTCTTGTTCCTCGCACTTCTCGCGTACAGCACCTCGTGAAAATCTACCAAGCCTCCACTCGCGAACCAGACCTCTCAATTCGACCGAGCAAGAAACACCGAGTCGCTTTCCCAGCCATTAGTTATGACTATTGAATTGTTCTGACACATCGAGAATCGACAACAGTCTTTAGGACCACCGCAACTCGCAAATACTGTAGCCTTAGTATTCTCACACAAGCATTCTCAGTTGCACCACCGCATTGCATTCCAAGCAGGGCCACTCTGATCTGAGGTTTTGTTTTCGTATCGCCTCGTAGTTTGAACGAGCTGGTTACATAGTCTTGATGTGTTGGGTGATTACAGCAAGTCAGCTGTGTTTACTCAACTCGCTGACACGTGAGGCGTGCGGTGCACTTACATAGTAAATTCGAGTGTATATATCAGCATTGTAGATCTCATAGTATTGTGCCTAGGTCAGGTATTAGGTTTTGAGACGTCTCAACTCGGTCAGGTTAAACTAAGGGGAGTACGCGTCCAAGCTTGGTATGGACTCCTTACGCTACACTACCGATCAGGGATCCGACTGTTATGGAGAGCTCCGATTGGCTAAAATTCTACATGCTAATCAGGGCGAGACGAGCGAGCGTAGCACTGGGGGTGCGCGGGACCGGAGACGAATACCAGTGTTACTATTCGACGTCGGGTAGTCGTCGTCGTTTTTCCCACTGCATCGTTTCGGAGTCGGAGGGACCATTCCTCGTCGCGGCGCCTCACCGCGACTTGGAATGAATCGACCGCCGAGTCGGAGGGACCATTCATCGGACGAATCTGTCATTAAACCACTCGACGCGGCAATTAGTACTACTATTTCTCAGAGGTCTCTGAGAATCAGACGCCTTTGAGAATCAGAAGCCGGGCTCGAGGCCTCGTTATTCATCGTATAAAGGTCGCACAGCTGCACCAGACGCCTTACCATTTCCGCCTCTTCATCCTCGCATCACACGAGTAGTGGTAGTACTACTGCCCTGCTGCCTCACTATAACTTCTAGTACTAGTACCACTCGTAGTGGTTACAACTTTCATCATGCCGCCACTTCGGGGCGTCGGATCGTCCACGAGCATTCTCCCGCTAATCAACGCCGGCCACGTGTCTTCCATCTGGCACGACATCCTCCTCATTCCGCCTCCGCCTTCTTCCGCCGACTCCTTCTCCTCCCCGCGCCATCCCGGTCCCCCCTTCCCCGCCTGCACTTTCTCCTTCGTCTGCCGCGCCGCCAAATCCCCCTCCGCCGATCGCGGGCCCGCGAGCCAAAAGCTTCGGCGCCGCGACGATCCCCTCCTGCTGGAGAAGCGGAAGGTGCTCGTATTGGGCCTAGACGGCAGGCGTATTAAAGTGAAGACCGATTGCGACTCGGAGACGTCGACGTCATCGCCTGCATCGCCGTCGCCATCGCCGTCGCAATCGTCGACGGCGGCGGCGGCGGCGCTCCTATCGGATTCGCCGTGGAATCTGGGCATCCTGCCGCAGACGTGCGTGCTCGCGTCGCGATCCATGTCGATGTTTTCCCTTTGGGATGCGAATACTGGTGATTCTGAATCCGCCAGTGGCGGTTCGGACGGCCGCAAGGAAGAGGCGAGGGTTAACGACCGCGCAGACTCGCTCTTAACGGCGTGCGACAACGTTCCGCTGGAGGCGCTGGAGATTGGGTCGCAGGCGCGCGAACCTGGCGACGCGTACGACGTCTTTCCTCTAATGGCGATGCCCTTGCGACTGCAGGGATCTGGGCGAAACAGCATGCCGATTTCGTGGAGGATTGTAACCATCGCAACGGACGACGAGCTGGTGACGAGCGGCAAGAGGAAACATTCCTTGGGCGATCTGTTGAATCGCGTTCGCGAGTGGGCGAAAAAATCGGAATCCTTTGGCGAAATCGCGGCACCAGGTATGCCAAAGCTGGTTACTTCTACTACCGTCTCCAAGCCATCTTCTCCGAGAGAAGGGAAATAGGAAGGAGACAATGTCAAAGGGGAGTCCCCTTCCCGGTTCCCTCCTCCTTCCTATTTCCCTTCCCTTCCCCTCTCTCGCCTCGCAGCGACCCTTATAAAATGTCTCGCTCCTACCGTAACGGGAACGTAATATTCCCCATTTCTCGCCCCCGTTCCCTCCTTGCTCTCCTTGCTCTCCTTGCTCTCCTTGCTCTCCTTGCTCTCCTTGCTCTCCTTGCTCTCCTTGCTCTCCTTGCGCGCCCCCTGCTTTTCTTTCTCGCTCCTTCCCCTCCTTACTCCCTCCTAGTTCGTTACTAGCGCATGATGTGCTTTTTCTTCCCATGTTACTCGCTCGACACCTTGCTCTCGTCACTGCATGATGACGAGACAATACCGCAAAAAACGATGCAAATGAAAATTGAGAACGATTGCTAAAAATTTTCCAACTTTTACGAGAGACAAAAAAAAAAAAAATCAAGAACAACAACTTCTACGAAAAATGTTACGGAGAAAAGTCTGTAAACCCCTCTCCCGTCCCGTTCGCCCCTTCACCCCCTCCCCTTCCCCGCTCCTCTCTTTCTCCCTCTCCTCTCCCCTCCCCATCCCCCGTCCACTTCCCGCTGTTTCTCATCCGCTTTCCCCGCATTCTCCCATGCTCTCCCCGCTGTCTCTCTTCCCTGCAGGTCGCCCCGCGAATCCCTTCTTCGGCGCGTCGCACTCGCTTGCAGAAGAAGAAGAAGCGGCCGGAGAGACGGGCGGAAGCCAATCATCCGAGGTTCAAGACTCGAGAGCTAAGAGGAAGAGCCAGGAGAGGGGATCGTGGGGCGGCGGAAGCGGAGGAGGAGCTCTGATACGCGTTTCAAGGGCCGGGGATCGAGATTCGATGATCGGACGCGTGGCGTTAGGAGGGGAGGATCTTGAGGAGGAATGGGGGAGGTCTGGAAGGGAAGCAGAGGACGCGGGGGAGCAAGCGGAGGATAAAGCGGAGCAAGCAGCACGGCAAGCGAGGGAAGCGGAGCAGATGGAGCAAGCAAAGGAAGCGGAGCAAACGGTGCTGCACGCTCACAGCACGTGGCGAATCCTCTGTGCCACTCTGCGCAAGCCCGCTCTCAATCGCAAGGAGAAACAGCAGGGCAGCGGCTCTCACCTGCCCGAGAAACAGCGGCAGCAGCACTTACAGCAGGAGCAGGAGCGGCGGCGGCAGCAGGAGCAACTACAGCAGCAGCAGGAGCGGCAGAACAGGCTTTTCCGCAGCCCGGTATTATCATGCCATTCCTCCAGCGATCTACCCGTTTCCTCTTGGTCCTTCTCTTCCTCTCCCCCTTCTTCTCCACCATCCTCCTCTCCCTTTGACGCGCCTCAAAAGTCCTCTCCACCATCCTCCTCTCCCTTTGACGCGCCTCAAAAGTCCTCTCCACCATCCTCCTCTCCCTTTCTATCTTCATCTGCTATGCCTTCAAGCTCCGACCGTCCCTTATCTTCAGCCTCGTCTAAGCCAGCCTCGTTATCGTCCAAGGCCGCGGGCTCCGGCCGGCCGGGGTATCAAATCCGCCAAACCAAATCTGATACGAATCCCAGCGATGCAGTCATGTGGAGGCTGATTGCTCCTCCCGAGAGCTATGGGCTTCCGGGGTTGGTCTCCCCCCGTGGGCCGGGGGAGAACAGAGGAGGAGGATTTGGAAGAGAGGAAGGGGGAGGTGGAGGAGGAGGAGGAGGAGGAGTGAAAGGTGGTGTTGCAAGGAGAGCGATGATCAGCCACAAGCAGAGCCAGAGCATAGACTTTGCTTCAATGATGAAAAACAGCGACTGGCTTCAGAACCCTGAGTCTGCTGGTCGGCTTGCGGTCTCTGCTGCTAAGGTTGCCGCAGCAGCGGCGGCAGCAGCAGCGGGATCGGTAAAGTCGCAAGTCGTTACGACCTTTGAGTCGTCTCAAAAGGCTGCGGGATCCATGAAGGCACAAGTGGTTACGGGAGTCACGGCGACAGCCACAGCTGCTGCTGTTGCTGCCAACCGGAATGTCGTCGCAGTAAACGCGGCAAGAAGCGTAGCGGTAAACGCAGCAAGAACGGTAGCAGGAACGGTGGCAGACACTGTAGCAGACACTTTAGCAGGAGCCGTAGCAGGTACTGTCGCAGGAGATGTAGCAGTGAATGTAGCGCGATCTGTCGCTCGGACTTTCTCTCCTCAGTCCTCTCTCCTCAGCCAGCGCAACGGTCCTGCTGTGTTGACTCTCAAGCCAAATCTTCCTCCTCTGTCCCCTCCCGTAACCAACCCATCGCGACCTCCTCCTCTCACTCCCTCGTCTCAATCCCCTCGTCCCACTCCCTCGTCTCAATCCCCTCGTCCCACTCCCTCGTCTCAATCCCCTCGTCCCACTCCCTCGTCTGAACCCCCCCGTCCCACTTCCTCATCTCGACCTCCTCCTATCACTACCGCGTCTCGATCCCCGCCTCTCACTCCCTCGTCTCAATCTCCCCGTCACACTTCTGCATCTCGCACCCCTCCTCTCAGTCCCTCATCTCGGCCCCCTCGTGTCTCCTCATCTCGTCCCCCTCCTCTCACTACCCCATCTCGATCCCCTCCTCTCACTCCCTCATCTCGCACCCCTCCTCTCGCTCCCTCTCCTCGATCCCCTCGTCCCACTCCCCCATCTCGATCCCCGCCTCTCACTCCCTCGTCTCAATCCCCTCGTCTCGCCTCATCTCGTCCCCCTCCTCTCACCACTTCGTCTCGATCCCCTCCTCTCACACCCTCCTCTCGATCCCCTCCTCTCACTCCCTCGTCCCTGTCCCCTCCTCTCACTCCCTCTCACTCCTCCACCGCCTCCCTATCCCCCTCTGCTCGCCCCTCCATCCTGAAATCACCAGCTTCCTCCACAGCTTCTTCTCCCACATTCAGCAAGCGGGTTTCCTGGAACCTTCACCCAGATAGCCCATCTCCCCCTGCCAGTGCAACATCTGGGGGGCCTAGGTCACCAAGGGGAGGGGGGGCGAAGTCAGCGGAAGGAGGGGGGTACCGGGCCATGGCGCGGAGGGCAACGTGGCATGGAGACACCTCTGATGACATGCTTGCTGATAACCTCCTTGCTGCTGCTGCTGCTGAAGGCTGTTCTGCTGCGCCTGCGGGTGCCATAGGCAGGCGGGCAGGGAATTCTGATAACACCTCTGATGACATGCTTGCTGATAACCTCCTTGCTGTTGAAGGCCGTTGTGCTGTTGAAGGCCGTCGTGCTGTTGAAGGCCGTGGTGCTGCTGAAGGCCGTTCTGCTGCTGCGCCTGCAGGTGCCGTAGGCAGGCGGGCCGGGAATGTTTTTGATAAGTTTGCTGGTGAAGCTGCTGAGGCTACTCAGGGAACAATGGTCCCAGCAGGTGCTGCTGCTGCTGCTGCTGCTGCTGCTGGTGGTGTTGGTGGTGGTGCTGCTGGTGGTGTTGGTGGTGCTGCTGCTGGTGCTGCTGGTGCTACTGGTACAGCTGCTGCTGCTGCTGCTGCTGCTGCTGGTGCCAGTGCTGCTGGTGCTTCTGCTGCTGTTGCTGCTCGTGCTTCTGCTCCTCCTGCTGCAACAGCTGCTGGTGCTGCTGTAACTGCTGCTGCATTTTCACTGTCTTCCCGTGCCTCCCCACTCACAGCTCGAACCACTGCAGTGAAGCCTCAATCCTCCAGGCCTTCCGTGAACCGTCCTTCTTCTAAGGTTGCCGTAAAGAGCGTGAGCTCTGACCAGGTTCGCAGCCGTTTTGCAGCAGCTGGATATGCGAGCGAGTCGGAAGTTTCCCGACGTGGGGGGGAAGCTTCAGAAAGAAGAGGAGGAAGAAAGGCACATGCTGCATTTGTGGTGGTGCCTAGGCGCAGCGTGCACAAGCGCAACTTAAGCGACGAGTCAGCGTTCGGATCCCCTATTCTCTCTCCAAAATAGACTGCATAAAACAATGGGTGCTGCATGTTTTCGTCTTTGTAGGTTTCTTCCTAGGTGTTTTTGCAATTTTGAAAACTCTAGTTGAGTTGCTCTCAGAAAATAGTGCGCATTGACTTAGTTTTGGTCCGTCTGCTTGCTAACGCGGCTTTGCGTATCGAGGAAAGTATGGCACGTTGCATTCCTGCCATGTGTGCTGGTCCAGTGTCGGGGGAATTCCATCCCTTCCAGTGTCGCTCGTTTGTGTCCCATCCATTGCCGTTCCACAAATTTTCCGTGGTACCCAGCGTTTGTATCTGAATGACGGTCTAAACCGTAACGCACCAGACCAGACAGTGAGTGGTTCATGTATTGAAAACTTGTTCCATTTCGCAGAATTCAATTCCCTTGCTCACCCAAGCTTGCGCACGAGAAATGCAGAATTCCAATTGCAGAATTCCACGACTGCTTTACCAGTGCGTCCCGACCCGACTCCCGAGGGCGGTTTTGTTCAACAGCTGCCAATGTCCACGTGGGATTTCTAAGCATAGTCGTAGGACCTGGCATCGCCTCTTGAGCTGCGGAACCAGCAGCCACGTGGCTTCTCGAGAGGCGTTCTTTGCTGCATGCTTGCATTTGCTGACTATAAGCGTAGCCGTAGTAAAAGCACGAGCCGGGTGTTGCCTACCAGTGATACTTTGCTAAGAGCGCGTGACCTTATTTTGACGCTGTTATTGAGGGCATTTCTCCGCTAACCACGCTCCTGCACGGTTTGCGATTAATAGTACTAGGGTAGTGTTTTCCGTCCTTAACGCTCCATACAAGTAATTAGCACCGCTTTAATTCCTGTTTCCGCCGCCATGGCTAGTTCGAGTACCTGTCTGATTAATAGTGCTACGAAAGTTCTTGCGTCGACTATATCCGACAACCCTCGTTTCAGTTCCTTCCACAGCAACCACTCCACCGCTACACTCCCCTCTCGCTATCGTCACATCCATCATAATACCCTCGGTCTCCGCCCGACGATCTCGCACCAACCTCGCCGGCGAATCACGGTGTGCCAGGTGTCGCTCGTCGACGACGCCCCGTTCGTCGCAGCAATCGCCACGTCCATCGCACTCTCTGCCGCGCCGCTCGTCCTGCCGTCACTCCCGCTCCTTTCGCGAAAGGCGAAAGGATCCGACGATGACGATGCTGCAGCAGCGGCGGCCGCGGCGCTGCTGGCGGCGGGAGTACGGGTGGGGGATGGGAAGGGGGAGGCGGAGGGCGAGGAGGCGGAAGGGGCGATGTCTCTGGGGGAGTTGCGCGCGGGGGTGATGACGGTGGTCAGCCTGATTCCGTTCTTCAACTGGCTGGTGATTATACCGAATGACTGATTGCTATGGATCTGTTCCCATGAGTGGAAGTTTCGTGACCCATAGATGCATGGGATGACTGGATCTTATGGCATGGTTGCTTGTTGTGACATGGGAGTTTTAATTTGTTTTTCTTTTCCATTAGGTTCTGAAATGTGACATGGCTCAGTGTGACAATATATTAAGTGTGACTGTTTATCACTGCGTGCTTGTATCGATTGTCAGGCGCCTTAATCTGTGTGATGTGATTGTATGATGGCAGTGCTGGGTGCTGGTGTGAATTGACTCCCGTGACGTCAAGTACATCCTCCTTGCAGCCATCAGGCGCATTATTCAGTGTGCTGTGATTGTATGACTGTATGACTGTATGATTGTGTGATTGTGTGATTGTATGATTGTATGACTGTATGATTGTATGGTGGCATCGTGGCAGTGCTGGGTGCTGGCGTGGATTGACTCCCGTGACGTCAAGTACATCCTCTTTGCAGCCGTCTACGCCGCACCCTATGCCAGGTGTGGTTCATCCGAGCCCTGGTGGGCGCAAACCCACCAGGTCCCTCTCCTGGTGGGTTTCGAATCCACCAGGACGCGGAGCCGGCGGAAGCTGTCTGCCCGGGGCAAAAAAAACTATTCCCCATCGCGACCGGCATGCCGTTCGGGAGCCTCAACCCTAAAATTTTAGGGTTGATGCTCCCGAACCGCATGCCTTCCGAGTGGGTTTTAGTTTTTTCGTGCCCGCGGGCAGATCGCTTCCGCGAGCACGCGGAAGCGATCCCGCGTTCGCCCGTGTTTTTCCGACAGGGCGCGTATGAACTTTCTGCATCATCCATGCCAGGTGCATCATCCATGCCAGGTGCATCATCCATGCCAGGTGTGCATCATCCATGCCAGGTGTGCATCATCCATGCCAGGTGTGCAATGCCCATCATCACGCTTGCCAATCGTTAGCTTGTTTCAGAAATGCAACCCCAATCTTATGTTAGGTATACAACACCTAACAATCTTAACGTCCCAGTATCGACCCCCTCTCTTGACCCCCTCACTTGACCCCCTCTCTTGACCTCCTCTCTTGAACCCCTCTCTCGGCCCCCCTCACTTGACCCCCTCTCTTGACCTCCTCTCTTGACCCCCTCTCCTGACCGCCCTCTCTTGACCGCTCATTGCAATGCTATTTCTGATCCCACAGGGGCGGTCCCACCCTGGCAATGGACGGCAACTGAACCCTTGTTCTCTTGACCTCCCTCCGCCGATGCTATTTCTGATCCCACAGGGGCGGTCCCACCCTGGCAATGGACGGCAACTGAACCCTTGTTCTCTTGACCTCCCTCCGCCGATGTTATTTCTGATCCCACAGGGGCGGGCTCACCCTGGCAATGGACGGCAACTGGCTTCCTCTCTTCAGCATTGCAGCGTGTGCACTGCATGTCCAGGTCAGCATGTGCCTTCGTGTTTGGCTTGCCTTGGGATCATTGGGGGTTGGGATCATCGGGGGTTGGGATCATTGGGGGTTCTGACTGGACTCAATATGTTGGGTTTTCACTCTCAAGTGGTCTAGGGGCCCTTGAAGTGGTCACTTAGTTAATTAAGAAATTAGCATTGACACATTGTACCTTGTCATTCATTTTACCTTGAAATCGTTGGGCGGGTTCTGGCCAGGTTGACAATGTAGCTGTGGAGCGAAGGAAGCTGGCCTCCAAGATTAAGTGCGCCAAGGTAGGTAGTACCAGAAATGCATTTGCGATTACCGTAGGTGTACCAGTTTCTTTTTTTTATTATCTCTCTCCCTCTTGTTTCTCCGCACCTCCTGTTTTCAAGTCAGCGTTTCCTCGATTATCTGCTTCTTGCTTCATTTTTTTTTTTGCTTTGTTCGCATCCAATCCAACTCCCTGCATCATCCTCCTTGCATCGTCCCTCCCTAGCAGAAGAAGGGCAGCCTTCCTGGTAGTGCCAAGGACAAGGGCACCAACGCAAAGCAGAGCAAGTGATGGGGGGTTGAGTAGAGGAGAGGGGATGATGTGGGTGGTACTACGAGGGAATGCAGGTTAGCAAGAGCATGCCACCAGTTTGTTCCTAGCACTAGTTTAGTATGCTCTGTATAGCTAATGCACAGCTGAAACCGGTAGCTGCTGGCTAGCGCTGGTGTCTGCGCTGCACTTTACAGCTGATGCATTCGTGAAACTGTACATGTGTTTTGTATAATATTGTACAGTAGCTGATATTGTGCTATTTTTGTGAAAATATATGATTTGTTTTGGATTTTATTGGTTCCAATCGTCTTGCCTCTCCCCAAACATCAAATAATTGAATTTTACACCGGAAACTTCCTGTTATGGTAAGTTGGACTACACATGGGCACTCATCAAGAAGCACCAAAATCGATTTCTCGTCCTCCTTTCAAGAAATTGAGGAACCGTCTCTCTGTTGCCTGCCTTCGCTTCACCTCCACTTGCTGCTTCGGCATCACATCACCGTAACGCCCGAAACCCTTGCCAGCAGCAGGCACCCCAAGCACAGCATCCCCTCCTGCTGTTGAAACAGCCCATCCTTTAACCTGACCGTGAGTTGGGCTGCTTGCTCCTCTAGTGCGAACAGTACTACTGCCTCTGCTGCTGCTGCTTCGGCTGCTGTGAGTGCTTCCAGAATCCCACCCAGGACGCGAGACACCTGCTGTTGCCCCACCAGCACCAGCATGCCTATTGTTCCCTGCTTCAGACACACTCCTCTCCTCCCATAGAACAGGGCTTGCAGACCAAGAGCTACTGCTGCTGCCAGCGCTGCTGCCGGTACCAGTCATGCCAACGCTGCCAGCGCTGCCAGTGCTGCCCGTGCTGCCGGTGCTGCCCCTGCGGCTGGTCCTGTGAATCGGAGACTCCAACCACATTGGGGGAGGCTGTGACTGTGGCGCTGCTGCTGATGCTGCCGCTGCACTTGCATCGTCGTAGCTGCTGCAATCAGCAACGCGGGATGACCTTCCCTTCCACCAGAGACCAAGGCCTGGGCTGCCAGGGACTCTCTTCCTCGCCGCACCACCGTCGCTATCCCTCCTGCTCCTGCTGTTGCTGCTGCTTCTGCCGCTTCTGCCGCTGCTGCTGCTGCTGCTGCTGCTGCCGAATCTCCTCCAGCTGCTACCAAACAGCCCGCCACCTGTCTTGCCTCCTACACCCCCATTCCCCTTCCCACTGCTGCCAAACTCTCCCTCGCTTTCTGAAGCACCTCCTGCCACTATCCTGTCAAAATCACCCGGCTGCATCTGCTGACACAGGTCGCTGTGGTGGGGCTCGTAGCTTGCTGCTTCGTGAGAAGATGTAGAAGCAGAGTCCACAGGGGACACAGGGATGACAGGGATCAGGCCCAGGTCTTCAAGGCGGGCTTGGGACAGGGAGGACGCCAGGGAGGCGGCAGGTGATGGGGGGGTGTGAAGAGAGGAGGAAAAGGAAGGAATGGCTTCTGTGAGTCTGCGAGCTCTCTCCTCGGCCTTGCGCCTGCTGCTGCGGAAGCCAAACCGACCCCTGCCAACCCATCCCGCTGCTCCTCCTGCTTCTGCTTCTTCCACCTCCGCAGCTGCAGTACCGACCGTCCTTCCTCTGAGGACGGAAGATCTGCAGCGAGGAGGAGCACTCGTGCGGCGATTCGTACCCCTGGTCTGTGAGAATACTTGAGGGGCCTCACGAAGCTGTGTACCTCCTGTGGCGTGTGGGTTGAGTGATTCAGTGGCAAGGGCGTGGTCGAGGGACAGGGGAGGGAGGGAGTGCGCATGGAAGAAGGAGGAGAAGGAGGAGGCGGGAGAGTAGAACGCCTCGGAGTTCCCTCCATCCCACTCTTCCTCTTCCTCCTCACCCTCCTCCCCATCCTCTCCCGTCGCTGCTGCTGTTGCCACTGCTGCTGCCGCCGCTCCTCCTCGCCCATCTCTCTCCCGCTGCTTCTCCTTCCGAGCACGGTGCTCTCGCATGGCCTCTCTGATCCTCACATACAGCTGCTCCTCTTCCAGAACCTTCCGGAACGCCCTCCCCTTGTTGCCCTTCGTATCCGCCAAATCAGACTCAATCTCTTTGCTAAACACCGTGAACAGCATCCCGCCAAACCCCTTGGTTACGAAGTTGACCAGCGCGGGCGGCATCTTGAGATCGACGGTGAAGATTCCCCGGTAGTGGCAGCGATTCTCTCCCAAGTCCTTCACGGTGAAGCCACCGTTGATGGCCATGCGGACCACGCCGGAGGGTACGGGTGGGACGGCGTCTTGGGGGAAGCCGTGCTTGGCTGGGTCGATGAGAGTGTTGTCCTCTGGTGGCTGGAGGGGGGTGGGGGGAACACGTATGGACAGGGCGCAAATGCTTTTTTTGGAGAGAAATTAAGAATTTCGTCCTCTGAAGGCTGGAGGGAGTCGAGGGGAAAAAGGCACGAATGGAGAGACAAGCCACAGATGACACATTTCGAGAATGAGAAGGCAAGCTTTCCCCTCCGCGTCTCTATCTGTACTCAGGGGCTTACCGTGGCTTCCCACTCAGACCGTCTGCAGGACCGTGGCGACCATGCCGGTGTTGGCGTCGTACACGCTCAAGAGCAACCGTCGTCCGAGTCCCAATCGTATAGGAAAAAAAAATATATTCGTCTCACCCAGCCACGCCACTCACCGTCTGCAGGACCGTGGTGACCATGCCCGTGTTGGCGTCATAGACGCTCAAGAGCATGAAGGCGAACTCCTTCCCGGGGAACGGCCACGGGGTCCTGAACCTGCTCCAGCAACACGATCCAACCAGCAGCAAGAAAAGGAATTTCGAGCCGTTGTTGACAGGGCTAAGACATAGCGAATGGGGACTTTCTCCCCAACGGTTGCTAACTACCTTTCAGTCCTATGCCTTCTTATTTGTATGCATGTCAGATGTGATAGTGTGTCATATTCCAGCTAGGGCTGTGGCATTGAATCTCGCGGTGATCCGTGGATATGTGCGGAATCGTGGTGATGAAACTCAGGTTGGCCGGCTTATATCTGTGGTGTTGAAGGGCTTACCTCATGTAGGTGAGGTCGAAGCCGTCGCCAATTCGCTTCAGGTACCGGTTTTCAATCACTTTGTACACAGGCATGTTCTGCTGCGGCCACCTGAAACGACAAGGAGAGAAAAACGAGACGTAAGTCACAACGTCACGAGTTGCGCGGGAAAATGAGCAAAATGTTTGTTTTTTTGTTGTGCAGCTGTACCCCTCCATTGTGTTGTCAGGCGTTGCACACAGCCGTCGACGAATGCCACAAGGCAGTAAACTACTGAAGAGTTCAGCGTACCATTCTTTACAGAAGGTGACGTCGCGAATCATGGGGACGACTGCTGAGGTCCATGCTCTCAATACTGGTCAAGCGTGCAGCGTACCATTCTTTGAAAAAGGTTACGTCGCGGGTCATGGCGACGGCTGCTTCCACGGGTCCGTTTACGATTCCCTCCATCAGCAGCGTGTGCACCTCCGTCCCTTCCGGCCCCTTCCGCACCATGGCTCGATGCTCCGGCCCCTTCCGCACCATGGCTCGATGCTCCGGACCCTCCTCGCACACCTCCTCGCACACCAAGGGTTCATGGTTCAGGTTTTTTCTTTCAGACCTTCCTTCGGACACCTGATATTTAAAACGAAGTTAAGAAACTGACACGCGTAGAAGTTTTGTTCCTTCTTCTGTGCATCCTTGAACTCACCGTCCTTCAGCCTGCCTCCACGATGGCGCGCGAAATCAACAAAGACCGTCTGTTTCAGGTGCAGTGAGCGTAGATGCATGATTAGGAGCCATACCTTCCATGCGCGGCGATCTCCAGGTGCCAAATCCTTCATGGCATCGGCTTTAGCGCTGTTCATGTTGTTCAACACACCCATCATTTCCCCCGACCAGTGATTTATGACTTCCTCCGATGGATTCGCAGCTCCTGCACCTGGACAGAGAGAGACAAATTCCCGCAAGGTCGAAGTAAATTTTGATAGTCGGTGTCAAAGAATAATGTTAATTCGTGGTTTATAATCTGACGGTTTTGGACTTCTACAATTTCCGCCGAACAGCGTTGAGTGATCAAGATCATGAACATATAAAAAATGCTACCTCGTTGAGTTAGCTGCTTCTGAATCGCTGTCCTGACTGCTCCGAGGCTGCTCCATTCGGGAGCCTCCAAGGCCTCGTCTAATGCGGTCATGCCATCCACAAGCGGCATGGCTGCTCCTCAAACTTGTCACTTGTATACTGGGATAGTATAGTGAAATTAAGGAGGTCAAAGACACTGAGGTAGTTACTTGCTTTGCGAGAATCTACCGGACACGCTGCTGCATGGGCTACTTCGTTTCAAACATGTACAAGCGCAGAATTTTTGAAGCGCGCGCATAGGAGCGGAATAGTGTCGCAAACAACCTACAACAGGGTCTCTGAGGCCCCGCACCTACTGGAGTATCAAGCAGCTGAGTATGGAATTGCTAATTGATCAGCGAAGCTCACTTCCGCTCTGATCCTCTAGAAAGCTGATCAGTGCAGGCACAGGGTGGAGCTGTGGATGAAATCGAGGAGGCAAATGTTTGACTTGGCAGCTGCACAATTCCCAAGGGGGCTGATGGTGTTGACGCGCCTCGACCTCGAGTTCGGGAATGCCGGAAAATGTATAGCCCCGCCGGTCAGTTCCACATCAAAACTGGACTTCGGGCTGTCTGAGTGGGCTGATGGTGGAAGTTTTTGTGACGGAATGCCATCGCATGGACGACGGGATGGGAGGTTTGATGGGCGGACACACCCTACGTGGCCCTCGCTCCGTGGTTGATTGTGGAGCCGTCAGCATTGATTGGAGTCGCTCATTTGCGGGAAATATTCAGAGCCAAAATGCAGGCACGTTGTGACCCCCGAGCGACACTGTATGGGGGGCATTGTCAGTCCGCTTCTGAATTTCCCTGTCACCCCGAAAACGAATTGGCACGTGGAATCACGTAATGTCACGGGCAGGTTTTGTGGCAGACCACTTCGGCAAAACGGGTGTTTGTCGGCCAACCGGTGCCTTCGCTGACCCGTCACGATTGACGACAATCAACCAAACCGACAGGAATCCCTCTGACGACAGCTGACCGCAATAGGTGAACAAACCAGCTCCAGTTGAGAGAACAGTAGAGGTCTCCCAAACCTAAACAACGCAAAAAGCTCCGTTGCCGGGATTTGAACCCGGGTCGCCTGGGTGAAAGCCAGGTATCCTAACCAGGCTGGACGACAACGGATGTTGGTGAGGTCAAATAAAGTGTTAAGAAAGGAATAAACAGGTCATAATCCACATCCTTTTCACTTCTCTTCTCGCCCTTCCACCATGGCTCTCAGTTATTCCCCAACATGCCTGGCTGTTGGTTCCGAACTGACAGTCCAACGAGGCATTCCCTCAACATTGGCCTCCAAATGTAACCAAATTGGCGGCATTGATCTCCTCCAATGGAAAGGCTCCACGTTGCACCTCAAGGCACGACGGCATTCGGCATCGACGGCACCGCGCACTGCGAAAGTGGTCGCTATGGCGGGCAAGAAGGGGAAGAAGGGCGGGGGAGGCGGCGGAAGACCCGGCGGAGGGGGAGGCGGAGGCGGCGGTGCCGGCGGAGGCGGAGGCGGCGGGGGCGGGGGGAAGCTGAAGTCGGCGGGCAGCAAGGCTCCGTCGGCGGAGCGCGGAACGGCGTATCAGAACGAGACGCGGAAGATCATCCTCAGCGTGAACCGCCTCCGCAAGGCACGCATCATGTTGACTATACTGCGTCGTCTCGTCGTAGCGGAGTTTTCGTGCCGCCGTGCAATTGCTGCTGTTGTGTTCTGCTTGCGACGTAGCTTTGCGGCTGGGATTCAGGGTTCAAGAGATACGGTTCAACGCGGGACGAGAAACTCGTTTCACAAAATTCCTCGTTTCACACGCTCTGCTTGGCTCCACAGCTCCCCTTCCCACGAAATTCCTCAGTCCCATTTCCCCGCTCTGTCCCTCTTCCCAACCCCCCGCTCCACCCTTCCCCCACCTCTTCAGGTGGCACCGAACGGCAAGGAGATTCTAAAGAACATCAGCCTGGGCATGTATCTGGGCGCCAAGATCGGCTTCCTGGGGGCCAACGGGGCGGGCAAGAGCTCCCTCATGCGCCTTCTCGCGGGGAGAGACGTGGCATTTGAAGGAGATTATTGCGCTCACCTCCTCACCTCCTCCCCTCCTCCCCTCCTCCCCTCCTCCCCTCCTCCCCTCCCCTCCTCCCCTCCTCCCCTCCTCCCCCTCCTCTCCCTCCTCCCGTCCAACTCCCTCCCCTTCAGGTGGCCCCCAACGGCAAGGAGATTCTAAAGAACATCAGCCTGGGCATGTATCTGGGCGCCAAGATCGGCTTTCTGGGAGCGAACGGGGCGGGCAAGAGCTCCCTCATGCGCCTTCTTGCGGGGAAAGACACGGTGTTTGAGGGGGATTACTACATCGATCCGAGCATCAAGATTGGGTACCTGGAGCAGGAGCCGCTGCTGGATGATGGGGTCACTGTTATGGATAATATCGAGCCTGCTCTTAAGGAGACCAAGGACCTGCTTCAGGAGTTTGAGGAGGTGAGGAGGTGAGGAGGTGAGGAGGTGAGGAGGTGAGGAGGTGAGGAGGTGAGGAGGAGGAGGAGAGAGGAAATGAGGAGGTGAGGAGGAAGGGGAAAGTTTGAAGGGTGGAAGCAAGTGAGAAGGAACGAAAAGCGTGGAGTGGAGGGTTGGAGATTTAGCAGTTCATGCATATTTCTTTATCCGTGCGTGCTTACGTCTCAGATGTTCTTGCGTAATATGTGCTTGTATGTATGCGTACTTATATTTAAACGCGTTTGTTTGTATCCATACGTGCTTATATCCATCAGGTGAGTGTAGCGATGGCAACAGCGGGAGACGCTGACATGGACAAGCTGATGACTCAGATGGAGCGCCTGCAAACCCGCCTCGACGCCTGCAACGGCTGGGAGCTCGACAGGCAGCTTCAGGTGAGTCCTCAGGTGGAAACAACAGAAGCAGGCAGTGTTGCAGTAAGTCCTGAGGTGGAAACAACAGATTCAAGGAGCTTCCCTCCATGCTGCATGTCGCCCAGAGTGATTGTTTCAATGCCACTTCCATTCCATCCACGTGCCTGGGTGGGTGCATGACATAGGATAGGATCAATCAAGTCATGCATTGATCACATGTCATTTCTCAGTCCGACTTGCATCCGTCCGCTCTCCACGCCCCTCCCTGTCCACATTTCAATCCTTACTGTGTGCACTGCACTCCTTCCAACCCCTGCCTCTTCTGCCCTCCTCTCAGAGAGCCATGGACGCACTGCGCTGTCCCCCTCATGGACGCACTGCGCTGTCCCCCTCATGGACGCACTGCGCTGTCCCCCTCATGGACGCACTGCGCTGTCCCCCTCATGGACGCACTGCGCTGTCCCAAATTTATCTGCGCCCCGCCAACCCAACCCCCTCACTGCCTTCCCCTCAACGCCCTCCCTGCCTCTTCTGCCCTCTTCTCAGAGAGCCATGGACGCACTGCGCTGTCCCTCAGGGGAGCCCCCCGTGCCGAACCTGAGTGGCGGGCGGATAGTAGCAGTCTGATTGCCATATCCATCCTCACCCCCCCAACCCCCTCAATGCCTTCCCCTCAACGCCCTCCCTGCCTCTCCCTCTCCTCTTCTCAGAGAGCCATGGACGCACTGCGCTGTCCCCCTCAGGGGAGGCCTCTTGTGACGAATCTGAGTGGCGGGCGGATAGTAGCAGTCTGATTGCCATATCCATCCACTCCACGCCCCCCCCACCCCCCCCCCTCCCGTCTCCCCCACTTCCCTCAGAGAGCCATGGACGCACTGCGCTGCCCCCCAGGGGAGGCCCCCATGGCGAACCTGAGTGCTGCTGACCGACTTACACCGCTCTCCACCCACCTCTTTGCCTCCCCCACTTCCCTCAGGGAGCCATGGACGCACTGCGCTGGCCCCCCGGTGAAGCTCCAGTGGCGAACCTGAGTTGCTGCTTGCCCAGTTCTCAGATCCCTTTGCACCGCTCTCCACCCCCTCTACCTCCCTCTCCGCCCTTCCCTCAGAGAGCCATGGACGCACTGCGCTGTCCTGCCGGTGAAGCCCCCGTGGCGAACCTGAGTGGCGGGGAGAGGAGGCGCGTTGCACTGTGCCGCCTGCTGCTGCAGGTGAGAGGAGGGAAGGGAAGGGGGAAGGTTTTGTGCTCTTCTAAAGGCAGAGTCAATTTTCGTGCTTGGTACAATAACACCCTTCTCTGCGGCGAACCTGAGTGGCGGCGAGAGGAGGCGCGTTGCGCTGTGCCGGCTGCTGCTGCAGGTGAGAGGGCGGGAGAGGGGAAGGGAAGGGGGGAAGGGAAGTGTGTTGCTGGATGCTGGGATAGAACGCAGAATGCTGGGTGCCGGTGCCTCATCTATCTGCACTGCAGCAGGTTGAGGAAAAGAATGTTGGGCGCCTGCTGCAGAATACTGGGCGCCCAACATTCTGCAAGATAGAACGCAGAATGCTGGGTGCCGGTGCCTCATCTATCTGCAGCAGGCGCCGGCTCCCAGCATTCTTTCTTTTCCTGGATAGAAGAATGCAGGTTGGTTTTTGAGAGTTCTGAAAGACCAGAATGCAGGAAGGAACCATTCAGTTCAGCCCACCAACCATCTCCATGCAGCGGCGGTGGCGGTGGCTTGGCTTGGACGGATGGAGCAACGAGGCAAACTGCTACCTCCTCCTCCTCCTCCTCCTCCTCCTCCTCCTCCTCCTCCTCCTCCTCCTCCTCCTCCTCCTCCTTTTGTGTATCGCCCCCCTGACTGATCCCACCACCACCAGGCGCCCGACATCCTCTTTCTGGACGAGCCCACCAACCATCTCGACTCGGGAGCAGTAAGATGGCTGGATGGAAGCACTCTTTGTAAATCGCCCCCTTCCCCCTCCCCTCCTTTCCACCCCCAGGCGCCCGACATCCTCTTTCTGGACGAGCCCACCAACCATCTCGACTCGGGAGCAGTAAGATGGCTGGATGGAAGCACTCTTTGTAAATCGCCCCCTTCCCCCTCCCCTCCTTTCCACCCCCAGGCGCCCGACATCCTCTTTCTGGACGAGCCCACCAACCATCTCGACTCGGGAGCAGTAAGATGGCTGGATGGAAGCACTCTTTGTAAATCGCCCCCTTCCCCCTCCCCTCCTTTCCACCCCCAGGCGCCCGACATCCTCTTTCTGGACGAGCCCACCAACCATCTCGACTCGGGAGCAGTAAGATGGCTGGATGGAAGCACTCTTTGTAAATCGCCCCCTTCCCCCCCTCCCCTCCTTTTCACCCCCAGGTGCCCGACATCCTCTTCCTGGACGAGCCCACCAACCACCTCGATGCGGTTCGTCCAGGAACCCCCACCCCCAACCACCTGGACGCGGAGGCAGTGGCATGGCTGGAGCAACCAGCATCCCGTGTGTATGTCCCCCCTCCCTGTCCGTCCCTCCCCCCCCCTTTCTACCACCCCCAGGCGCCGGACATTCTGTTTCTGGACGAGCCAACTAACCATCTCGACGCGGAGGCAGTGGCGTGGCTGGAGCGACCAACCATCCCCAGTATCTCACTCACGCCTTGTCCATCCCTCTCCTACCCCCTCAATGCCACCCCCTTCCCCACCCTCAGGCGCCCGACATTCTCTTCCTGGACGAGCCAACCAACCACCTGGACGCGGAGGCAGTGGCGTGGCTGGATGGAGGCACTCTTGCACCCCATCCCCCTTTCCCTCCCCCCCTCCCACACTCCCCTTTCTTTGTAAATCGCCCCCTTCTCCCCCCGCCCACCCTGCCCACCACTAGGCGCCGGACATTCTGTTCCTGGACGAGCCCACCAACCACCTGGATGCGGAGGCAGTAAGGTGGCTGGAGCGGTACCTGGCAGAGTTCAAGGGGACTGTTGTTGCCATCACTCATGGGTGAAGGGCACTGTGGTGGCCATCATGTCCCCACGATCTCTTGTCCCTCTGCTTCCATCTGCCACATGTAGGCACCCGACATTCTGTTTCTGGATGAGCCAACTAATCATCTGGACGCGGAGGCAGTGGCATGGCTGGAGCGGTACCTGGCAGAGTTCAAAGGCACAATGGTGGCCATCATGTTCCCACGATCTCTTGTCCCTCTTCCTCCTCTTACATCTCCCACTCCCAGGCGCCGGACATTCTGTTCCTGGACGAGCCAACCAATCACCTCGATGCGGAGGCGGTGGCATGGCTGGATGGAAGCACTCTTGGTAAATCGCCCCCTCCCTCCCCGCCCCCTTTCTACCACTCTCAGGCGCCAGACATTCTGTTCCTGGACAAGCCAATCAACCATCTCGACGCGGAGGCAGTGGCATGGCTGGAGCAACCAGCATCCCGTGTGTATGCCCCCCCTCCTTGTCCGTCCCTCCCCTCCCCCACCCTGCCCACTCTCAGGCGCCGGACATTCTGTTTCTGGACGAGCCAACTAATCATCTCGACGCGGAGGCAGTGGCGTGGCTGGAGCGGTACCTGGCGGAGTTCAAAGGGACTGTTGTGGCCATCACCCACGACCGATACTTCCTGGATAATGTGAGTGGCATGGCATGGGGGTATGATGTGATGGGTGGCAGTGGCAGGCAGGTGTCGTGGTATGTATGTTGATCCGCAGTGGTATGGTGGTACAGGTCAGGTCAGCACTGATGGCACGCGGAGGCGGTAGCGTGGCTGGAGCGGTACCTGGCGGAGTTCAAAGGCACTGTTGTGGCCATCACTCACGACCGCTTCTTCCTCGATAATGTGAGATTATGTGACTGTAATGGATTGTTTCTGTTGAGAAAATTCAAAAAGCAGATTATGTTACTTCAATGGATGGTGATGATATTGGTAAGGACCAGTTGAGAGGAACGGCAGCAGGAATAACCCAGTTACACCCCCAACCCCCCATCCCCGGCCCCCCCTCTCACTCGGTCTTTCTCTCCTCCAGTGCCCAGGACCCAAAAGGCTAGGTGGATTCTGGAGGTGGATTATAACGCGCCCGTTACCATAACGCACCCGTTACCATAACGCACCCGTTACCATAACGCACCCGTTACCATAACGCACCCGTTACCATAACGCACCCGCTACCATAACGCACACGTTACCATAACGCACCCGTTACCATAACGCACCCGTTACCATGACGCACCCGTTACCATGACGCACCCGCTACCATGACGCACCCGTTACCATAACGCACCCGTTACCATAACGCACCCGTTACCATAACGCACCCGTTACCATAACGCACCCGTTACCATAACGCACCCGTTACCATAACGCACCCGTTACCATAACGCACCCGTTACCATAACGCACCCGTTACCATAACGCACCCGTTCCCATAACGCACCCGCTCCCATAACGCACCCGCTCCCATAACGCACCCGCTACCATAACGCACCCGCTACCATAACGCACCCGCTACCATAACGCACCCGTTACCATGACGCACCCGTTACCATGACGCACCCGTTACCATGACGCACCCGTTACCATGACGCACCCGTTACCATGACGCACCCGTTACGATGTCGCACCCGTTACGATGTCGCACCCGTTACCATAACGCACCCGTTACCATAACGCACCCGTTACCATGACGCACCCGTTACCATAACGCACCCGTTACCATATCGCACCCGTTACCATATCGCACCCGTTACCATAACGCACCCGTTACCATAACGCACCCGTTACCATAACGCACCCGTTACCATAACGCAACCGTTACCATGACGCACCGGTTACCATATCGCACCCGTTACCATAACGCACCCGTTACCATAACGCACCCGTTACCATGGCGCACCCGTTACCATGGCGCACCCGTTACCATGACGCACCCGTTACCATGGCGCACCCGTTACCATAACGCACCCGTTACCATAACGCACCCGTTACGATGTCGCACCCGTTCCCATAACGCACCCGTTACCATAACGCACCCGTGACCATGACGCACCCGTTACCATAACGCACCCGTTACCATATCGCACCCGTTTCCATATCGCACCCGTTACCATAACGCACCCGTTACCATAACGCACCCGTTACCATAACGCACCCGTTACCATAACGCACCCGTTACCATGACGCACCGGTTACCATATCGCACCCGTTACCATAACGCACCCGTTACCATAACGCACCCGTTACCATAACGCACCCGTTACCATGGCGCACCCGTTACCATGACGCACCCGTTACCATGACGCACCCGTTACCATGACGCACCCGTTACCATGACGCACCCGTTACCATGACGCACCCGTTACCATGACGCACCCGTTACCATAACGCACCCGTTACCATAACGCACCCGTTACCATAACGCACCCGTTACCATAACGCACCCGTTACCATGACGCACCCGCTAACGCACCCGTTACCATGACGCACCTGTTACCATGACGCACCCGTTACCATGACGCACCCGTTACCATGACGCACCCGTTACCATGACGCACCCGTTACCATGACGCACCCGTTACCATACCGCACCCGTTACCATAACGCACCCGTTACCATAACGCACCCATTACCATAACGCACCCGTTACCATAACGCACCCGTTACCATAACGCAACCGTTACCATGACGCACCGGTTACCATATCGCACCCGTTACCATAACGCACCCGTTACCATAACGCACCCGTTACCATGGCGCACCCGTTACCATGGCGCACCCGTTACCATGACGCACCCGTTACCATGGCGCACCCGTTACCATAACGCACCCGTTACCATAACGCACCCGTTACGATGTCGCACCCGTTCCCATAACGCACCCGTTACCATAACGCACCCGTAACGATGTCGCACCCGTTCCCATAACGCACCCGTTACCATAACGCACCCGTGACCATGACGCACCCGTTACCATAACGCACCCGTTACCATATCGCACCCGTTTCCATATCGCACCCGTTACCATAACGCACCCGTTACCATAACGCACCCGTTACCATAACGCACCCGTTACCATAACGCACCCGTTACCATGACGCACCGGTTACCATATCGCACCCGTTACCATAACGCACCCGTTACCATAACGCACCCGTTACCATAACGCACCCGTTACCATGGCGCACCCGTTACCATGACGCACCCGTTACCATGACGCACCCGTTACCATGACGCACCCGTTACCATGACGCACCCGTTACCATGACGCACCCGTTACCATGACGCACCCGTTACCATAACGCACCCGTTACCATAACGCACCCGTTACCATAACGCACCCGTTACCATAACGCACCCGCTACCATAACGCACACGTTACCATAACGCACCCGTTACCATAACGCACCCGTTACCATGACGCACCCGTTACCATGACGCACCCGCTACCATGACGCACCGTACCATAACGCACCCGTTACCATAACGCACCCGTTACCATAACGCACCCGTTACCATAACGCACCCGTTACCATAACGCACCCGTTACCATAACGCACCCGTTACCATAACGCACCCGTTACCATAACGCACCCGTTACCATAACGCACCCGTTCCCATAACGCACCCGCTCCCATAACGCACCCGCTCCCATAACGCACCCGCTACCATAACGCACCCGCTACCATAACGCACCCGCTACCATAACGCACCCGTTACCATGACGCACCCGTTACCATGACGCACCCGTTACCATGACGCACCCGTTACCATGACGCACCCGTTACCATGACGCACCCGTTACCATGACGCACCCGTTACGATGTCGCACCCGTTACGATGTCGCACCCGTTACCATAACGCACCCGTTACCATAACGCACCCGTTACCATGACGCACCCGTTACCATAACGCACCCGTTACCATATCGCACCCGTTACCATATCGCACCCGTTACCATAACGCACCCGTTACCATAACGCACCCGTTACCATAACGCACCCGTTACCATAACGCAACCGTTACCATGACGCACCGGTTACCATATCGCACCCGTTACCATAACGCACCCGTTACCTTAACGCACCCGTTACCATGGCGCACCCGTTACCATGGCGCACCCGTTACCATGACGCACCCGTTACCATGGCGCACCCGTTACCATAACGCACCCGTTACCATAACGCACCCGTTACGATGTCGCACCCGTTCCCATAACGCACCCGTTACCATAACGCACCCGTGACCATGACGCACCCGTTACCATAACGCACCCGTTACCATATCGCACCCGTTTCCATATCGCACCCGTTACCATAACGCACCCGTTACCATAACGCACCCGTTACCATAACGCACCCGTTACCATAACGCACCCGTTACCATAACGCACCCGTTACCATAACGCACCCGTTACCATGACGCACCGGTTACCATATCGCACCCGTTACCATAACGCACCCGTTACCATAACGCACCCGTTACCATAACGCACCCGTTACCATGGCGCACCCGTTACCATGACGCACCCGTTACCATGACGCACCCGTTACCATGACGCACCCGTTACCATGACGCACCCGTTACCATGACGCACCCGTTACCATGACGCACCCGTTACCATAACGCACCCGTTACCATAACGCACCCGTTACCATAACGCACCCGTTACCATAACGCACCCGTTACCATAACGCACCCGTTACCATGACGCACCCGCTAACGCACCCGTTACCATGACGCACCTGTTACCATGACGCACCCGTTACCATGACGCACCCGTTACCATGACGCACCCGTTACCATGACGCACCCGTTACCATGACGCACCCGTTACCATAACGCACCCGTTACCATAACGCACCCGTTACCATAACGCACCCGTTACCATAACGCACCCGTTACCATAACGCACCCGTTACCATAACGCACCCGTTACCATAACGCACCCGTTACCATAACGCACCCGTTACCATGACGCACCGGTTACCATATCGCACCCGTTACCATAACGCACCCGTTACCATAACGCACCCGTTACCATAACGCACCCGTTACCATGGCGCACCCGTTACCATGACGCACCCGTTACCATGACGCACCCGTTACCATGACGCACCCGTTACCATGACGCACCCGTTACCATGACGCACCCGTTACCATGACGCACCCGTTACCATAACGCACCCGTTACCATAACGCACCCGTTACCATAACGCACCCGTTACCATAACGCACCCGCTACCATAACGCACACGTTACCATAACGCACCCGTTACCATAACGCACCCGTTACCATGACGCACCCGTTACCATGACGCACCCGCTACCATGACGCACCCGTTACCATAACGCACCCGTTACCATAACGCACCCGTTACCATAACGCACCCGTTACCATAACGCACCCGTTACCATAACGCACCCGTTACCATAACGCACCCGTTACCATAACGCACCCGTTACCATAACGCACCCGTTACCATAACGCACCCGTTCCCATAACGCACCCGCTCCCATAACGCACCCGCTCCCATAACGCACCCGCTACCATAACGCACCCGCTACCATAACGCACCCGCTACCATAACGCACCCGTTACCATGACGCACCCGTTACCATGACGCACCCGTTACCATGACGCACCCGTTACCATGACGCACCCGTTACCATGACGCACCCGTTACCATGACGCACCCGTTACGATGTCGCACCCGTTACGATGTCGCACCCGTTACCATAACGCACCCGTTACCATAACGCACCCGTTACCATGACGCACCCGTTACCATAACGCACCCGTTACCATATCGCACCCGTTACCATATCGCACCCGTTACCATAACGCACCCGTTACCATAACGCACCCGTTACCATAACGCACCCGTTACCATAACGCAACCGTTACCATGACGCACCGGTTACCATATCGCACCCGTTACCATAACGCACCCGTTACCTTAACGCACCCGTTACCATGGCGCACCCGTTACCATGGCGCACCCGTTACCATGACGCACCCGTTACCATGGCGCACCCGTTACCATAACGCACCCGTTACCATAACGCACCCGTTACGATGTCGCACCCGTTCCCATAACGCACCCGTTACCATAACGCACCCGTGACCATGACGCACCCGTTACCATAACGCACCCGTTACCATATCGCACCCGTTTCCATATCGCACCCGTTACCATAACGCACCCGTTACCATAACGCACCCGTTACCATAACGCACCCGTTACCATAACGCACCCGTTACCATAACGCACCCGTTACCATAACGCACCCGTTACCATGACGCACCGGTTACCATATCGCACCCGTTACCATAACGCACCCGTTACCATAACGCACCCGTTACCATAACGCACCCGTTACCATGGCGCACCCGTTACCATGACGCACCCGTTACCATGACGCACCCGTTACCATGACGCACCCGTTACCATGACGCACCCGTTACCATGACGCACCCGTTACCATGACGCACCCGTTACCATAACGCACCCGTTACCATAACGCACCCGTTACCATAACGCACCCGTTACCATAACGCACCCGTTACCATAACGCACCCGTTACCATGACGCACCCGCTAACGCACCCGTTACCATGACGCACCTGTTACCATGACGCACCCGTTACCATGACGCACCCGTTACCATGACGCACCCGTTACCATGACGCACCCGTTACCATGACGCACCCGTTACCATAACGCACCCGTTACCATAACGCACCCGTTACCATAACGCACCCGTTACCATAACGCACCCGTTACCATAACGCACCCGTTACCATAACGCAACCGTTACCATGACGCACCGGTTACCATATCGCACCCGTTACCATAACGCACCCGTTACCATAACGCACCCGTTACCATGGCGCACCCGTTACCATGGCGCACCCGTTACCATGACGCACCCGTTACCATGGCGCACCCGTTACCATAACGCACCCGTTACCATAACGCACCCGTTACGATGTCGCACCCGTTCCCATAACGCACCCGTTACCATAACGCACCCGTGACCATGACGCACCCGTTACCATAACGCACCCGTTACCATATCGCACCCGTTTCCATATCGCACCCGTTACCATAACGCACCCGTTACCATAACGCACCCGTTACCATAACGCACCCGTTACCATAACGCACCCGTTACCATGACGCACCGGTTACCATATCGCACCCGTTACCATAACGCACCCGTTACCATAACGCACCCGTTACCATAACGCACCCGTTACCATGGCGCACCCGTTACCATGACGCACCCGTTACCATGACGCACCCGTTACCATGACGCACCCGTTACCATGACGCACCCGTTACCATGACGCACCCGTTACCATGACGCACCCGTTACCATGACGCACCCGTTACCATGACGCACCCGTTACCATAACGCACCTGTTACCATAACGCACCCGTTACCATAACGCACCCGTTACCATAACGCACCCGTTACCATAACGCACCCGTTACCATGACGCACCCGCTAACGCACCCGTTACCATGACGCACCTGTTACTATGACGCACCCGTTACCATGACGCACCCGTTACCATGACGCACCCGTTACCATGACGCACCCGTTACCATGACGCACCCGTTACCATAACGCACCCGTTACCATAACGCACCCGTTACCATAACGCACCCGTTACCATAACGCACCCGTTACCATAACGCACCCGTTACCATAACGCACCCGTTACCATAACGCACCCGTTACCATATCGCACCCGTTACCATGAGGCGCCCGTTACCATACCGCACCCGTTACCATGACGCGCCCGTTACCATAACGCGCCCGTTACCATGACGCGCTCGTTACCATAACGCGCCCGTTACCATGACGCGCCCGTTACTATAACGCACCCGTTACCATGACGCACCCGTTACGATGTCGCACCCGTTACGATGTCGCACCCGTTACCATAACGCACCCGTTACCATGACGCACCCGTTACCATGACGCACCCGTTACCATAACGCACCCGTTACCATAACGCACCCGTTACCATAACGCACCCGTTACCATAACGCACCCGTTACCATAACGCACCCGTTACCATAACGCACCCGTTACCATATCGCACCCGTTACCAGAACGCACCCGTTACCAGAACGTACCGTTACCATAACGCACCCGTTACCATAACGCACCCGTTACCATAACGCACCCGTTACCATAACGCACCCGTTACCATAACGCACCCGTTACCATAACGCACCCGTTACCATAACGCACCCGTTACGATAACGCACCCGTTACCATAACGCACCCGTTAATTATAACGCACCCGTTACCATAACGCACCCGTTACCATAACGCACCCGTTACCATATCGCACCCGTTACCATACGCACCCGTTACCATAACGCACCCGTTACCATAACGCACCGTTAATTATAACGCTCCCGTTAATTATAACGCGCCCGTTAATTATAACGCGCCCGTTACCATAACGCGCCCGTTACCATAACGCGCCCGTTACCATAACGCGCCCGTTACCATAACGCGCCCGTTACCATAACGCGCCCGTTACCATATCGCACCCGTTACCATAACGCACCCGTTACCATAACGCACCCTTTACCATAACGCACCCGTTACCATATCGCACCCGTTACCATAACGCGCCCGTTAATTATAACGCTCCCGTTAATTATAACGCGCCCGTTACCATAACGCGCCCGTTACCATAACGCGCCCGTTACCATAACACACCCGTTACCATAACGCACCCGTTACCATAACGCACCCGTTAATTATAACGCACCCGTTACCATAACGCACCCGTTACCATAACGCACCCGTTACCATATCGCACCCGTTACCATAACGCACCCGTTACCATAACGCACCCGTTACCATAACGCACCCGTCACCATATCGCACCCGTTACCATAACGCACCCGTTGCACCCGTTACCATAACGCACGCGTTACCATAACGCACCCGTTACCATAACGCACCCGTTACCATAACGCACCCGTTACCATAACGCACCCGTTATCATAACGCACCCGTTACCATATCGCACCCGTTACCATAACGCACCCGTTACCATAACGCACCCGTTACCATATCGCACCCGTTACCATAACGCACCCGTTACCATAACGCACCCGTTACCATATCGCACCCGTTACCATAACGCACCCGTTACCATAACGCACCCGTTACCATAACGCGCCCGTTACCATAACGCACCCGTTACCATAATGCGCCCGTTACCATAACGCGCCCGTTACCATAACGCACCCGTTACCATAACGCACCCGTTACCATAACGCACCCGTTACCATAACGCACCCGTTACCATAACGCACCCGTTACCATAACGCACCCGTTACCATAACGCACCCGTTACCATAACGCACCCGTTACCATAACGCACCCGTTACCATAACGCACCCGTTACCATAACGCACCCGTTACCATAACGCACCCGTTACCATAACGCACCCGTTACCATAACGCACCCGTTACCATATCGCACCCGTTACCATAACGCACCCGTTACCATAACGCACCCGTTACCATAACGCACCCGTTACCATAACGCACCCGTAACGCACCCGCTACCATAACGCACCCATTACCATAACGCACCCGTTACCATAACGCACCCGTAACGCACCCGTTACCATAACGCACCAGTTACCATAACGCACCCGTTACCATATCGCACCCGTTACGATAACGCACCCGTTTCCATAACGCACCCGTTACCATAACGCACCCGTTACCATAACGCACCCGTTACCATAACGCACCCGTTACCATGACGCGCCCGTTACCATACCGCACCCGTTACCATGACGCGCCCGTTACCATAACGCGCCCGTTACCATGACGCGCTCGTTACCATAACGCGCCCGTTACCATGACGCGCCCGTTACTATAACGCACCCGTTACCATAACGCACCCGTTACCATAACGCACCCGTTACCATGACGCGCCCGTTACCATACCGCGCCCGTTACCATGACGCGCCCGTTACCATAACGCGCCCGTTACCATGACGCGCCCGTTACCATAACCCACCTGTTACCATGACGCACCCGTTACCATAACGCACCCGTTACCATAACGCACCCGTTACCATAACGCACCCGTACCACAACGCACTCGTTACCATAACGCACCTGTTACCATGACGCACCCGTTACCATGACGCACCCGTTACCGTAACGCACCCGTTACCATAACGCACCCGTTACCATAACGTACCCATAACGCACCTGTTACCATAACGCACCCGTTACCATGACGCACCAGTTACCATAACGCACTCGTTACCATAACGCACGCGTTACCATAACGCACCCGCTACCATAACGCACCCGTTACCATAACGCACCCGTTACCATAACGCACCCGTTACCATAACGCACCCGTTACCTGGATCGCGGGCAGGGCATAATCAGTCAGTCACCATCCCCACGGTCGATGCTGTTATGTTCTTCCCCTCACTTCTCTTTCCTTCCCCCCTCCCTGTGCGCAGGTGGCAGGGTGGATTCTGGAGTTGGATCGAGGGCGGGGCATTCCCTTTGAGGGCAACTATTCGGCCTGGCATCATCACCGCAATCCCCTCTTTTGCCTTCTTCCCCTTGTCTCCCCTTGCATGTGCGCAGGTGGCAGGGTGGATTCTGGAGCTGGATCGCGGGCAGGGCATTCCCTTTGAGGGCGAATACTCGGCCTGGCTCATGGCTGGGGAGGGGCAGCAGGAGCAGCGGAAGCGACCCTTACCACAATGCCTCTTTTCTCTCGTTCACTCCCCTGCCTTGAGTGCAGGTGGCAGGGTGGATTCTGGAGCAGGATTGTGGGCAGGGCATTATCAGTCAGTCACCTCCCCACCATCTAGGCTTATGTTTTTCCCCTCTCTCATTCTTCCCTCCTCTCTCCCCCTATCCAGGTTGCAGGGTGGATTCTGGAGCTGGATCGAGGGCAGGGCATTCCCTTTGAGGGCAACTACTCGGCTTGGCTTGAGAACAAGGCGCAGCGGCTGGCAGGGGAGGAGCGGCAGGAGCAGCAGCATTCACCCTTACCACAACCCCCTTTTTCCCCTCTCCGTCTTCACCTGCACACAGGTGGCCGGGTGGATTCTGGAGCTGGATCGCGGGCAGGGCATTCTCAGTCAGACACCCCCCCACCGTCCATGCTGTTATGTTTTTTCCCCTCTCTCACTCTTCTCTTTCCCCCCTCCTGCACCCAGGTCGCAGGGTGGATTCTGGAGCTGGATCGCGGGCAGGGCATTCCCTTTGAGGGCAACTACTCGGCTTGGCTCGAGAACAAGGCGCAGCGCCTGGGGACGGAGGAGCGACAGCAGTCGGCGCTGCAGCGGGTTATGGAGAGGGAGATGGAGTGGATTCGACAGAAGGCCAAGGGGCAGCAGAAGAAGGGCAAGGTGAGGACAAGGGTGGGGTTGAAATGGGTACAAGGGGATGGAGAGGGGCACACAGGGGAGTGAGGAGCGGCAGCAGTCGGCTCGGCGCTGCAGCGGGTGATGGAGCGAGAGATGGAGTGGATCAGACAGAAGGCCAAGGGGCAGCAGAAGAAGGGCAAGGTGAGGAATGGTGGTGAGGGGTGTGAGGGGGGTTGAAATGGGTGCAAAGGGATGGGGTTGGGAGAACAGGGGAGTCGGCGCTGCAGCGGGTTATGGAACGGGAGATGGAGTGGATTCGACAGAAGGCCAAGGGGCAGCAGAAGAAGGGCAAGGTGAGATGGTGGGGGGTGAGGAAGGTTGGTATGGGAGGGTTGTGGGGGCGTGGGGGGGTAAGGGATGGGGGCAAAGGGTAGGGTGGGGAAAGGCAGCAGTCGGCGCTGCAGCGGGTTATGGAGAGGGAGATTGAGTGGATTCGACAGAAGGCCAAGGGGCAAGGTGAGGGAGGGGGAGGGCATGTTCCTGCAGCGTCCATGTTTCCTGCCCGTCCCTGCCTGCCTCCCTCTCCCCCTCCCCAGGCGCGCATTCGAGCATACGAGGAGCTAGTATTCACAGGCCAGCTAGAACTCACAGGAGGAGAGGCTGGAGGGCATGTTCCTGCTGCCCTCACTGGTGGCATCTCTTCCCTTATCCACAGACTCCCCCCCCTCCCCAGCCTCGCGCGAGGAGAGGCTGGAGGGCATGTTCCTGCTGCCCACACTGGTAGCACCTGTCTCCTCTCCTCCCCCCAACCCCTCTTGCCGCTCCCTCTCCCCCTCCGCAGGCGCGCATGCGAGCATATGAAGAGCTGGTCATTCAGGCGGGCCAGTACTCGCGGGAAGAGAAGCTGGAGAGCATGTTTCTGCCTTGTCTGTCTTTACTCCTACTCACCTGCCCGTCTGCCCGTTTGCCCTGCATTTCGCCAATCCCCCAGGCGCGCATGCGAGCATACGAGGAGTTAGTGATCCAAGCGGGCCAGTACTCGCGGGAGGAGAAGCTGGAGAGCATGTTTCTGCCGCCGGGGCCGCGGCTGGGAGATGTGGTGGTGGAGGCGGAGGGGGTGGCCAAGGCGTTTGGGGAGAGGGTTCTTATGGATGGGGTCAACTTCACCCTGCCGCCTGGAGGTATGTGGTGGTGTGTGGTGGTGTGTGGTGTGGCGTGGTGGTGTAACAGGGTGCGGCTGGGAGATGTGGTGGTGGAGGCATAGGGGACAGCTTCTACCTGCCGCCTGGGGGTATGGCGTGGCATGTAAATAGTGAGGCAGAGCGTGACTGATGGTGGCAATGGTGCCGGCAAGTCAACCCTCTTCCGCATGATCGTGGGGCAGGAGACCAGGTCACTGAGAGACCAGGTCACTGAGACCATTAGGTCCCCAGGATAGCCCCAATGAGGGCTCGCTGCGAGTGGGGGAGACGGTGGCACCTACGAGTCATACAAGCTCTCCCCTTCCCTTCCCCGTGCAGGCATTGTGGGGGTGATCGGTGGCAATGGTGCCGGCAAGTCAACGCTCTTCCGCAAGATCGTGGGACAAGACAGCCCTAATGAGGGCTCCCATTCACAAACCTTACCAGCTCTCTTTTTCCCCTTTCCACTCCCTTCAACCCCCTTCCCCATGCAGGTATTGTGGGAGTGATCGGTGGCAACGGTGCCGGCAAGTCAACCCTTTTCCGCATGATTGTGGGGCAGGATAGCCCTAATGAGGGCACTTTGCGAGTGGGGGAGACGGTGGCGCCGCTCTATGTCGACCAATCGCGCGACGCGCTGGATCCCAACAAGACGGTGTTTGAGGAGATCACGGGCGGCGCAGATGAGATTTTGCTGGGTGGGTTTGTTTGTCCTTTAGTGGAGACGGGATTTTGTCCTTGGGTGGAGAATAGACCTGGTTGGGTGAGTTTTTCGTGTATATGAGCTGTGGTTAGTAGCCATACCCTGTACATATCACACATGCTACAGTCACAGATGCAGCTGTCGCACATGTGCTACAGTCACACAGCCTTCTCTCCCTCACTCCCGTGAATGACAGGCGAGCGCAAGGTGAGCAGCCGGGCGTACTGCGCGTGGTACAACTTCAAGAAGGCGGACCAGCAGGCATGCTTCCAGAAGGAGAGCAGAATCGCGTGCACCTCTTGTACAGTCACGTGCATGTCTCCCGCCTCTCTCCCTCCCTCCCCCCTCTCCCCCCCCACCCCCAGGCGAGCGCAAGGTGAACAGCCGGGCGTACTGCGCGTGGTACAACTTCAAGGGGGCGGACCAGCAGAAGAAGGTGGGCGTGCTGTCGGGCGGCGAGAGGAACCGCGTGCACCTGGCGCGCATCATGCGGCGCGGAGGCAACCTGCTCATGCTGGACGAGCCTACGAATGATCTTGATGTTGACACGCTCAGGGCGCTGGAGGACGCGATTCAAGGGTTTGCGGGATGCGTGATTGTCATCTCTCACGACCGCTGGTTCTTGGATCGCATTGCCACGCACATCATGGCCTTTGAAGGCGACTCCAAGGTACGCTTTTCTTTCCTTCTTTCTTTCTTTCTCTCCCTTTGTTTTTTTTTTTTGCATTGTCAAAAGTGACTCCTGTATGGGTGGAGGATGTGTTCGGGGGGCTTGCGAGATGCATGATGTGCAAGTTTTGAGACGTTGGAAGAATGGTTGCGGGATCGCATTGCCATGCACACATGTGGTGCTAGCATGCATGGCGTTCTGCTTCCTTGTTGAGAATCCTGTGGTGCCGGCGCCCTTCATGACTTCCTTTCCAATGCAAGGCTCTTTCATCTCTACCCTGTTTGTTCCTATGCAGGTGGTTTGGTTCGAAGGCTCGTACAGTGACTACGAGGAGGACAGGAGGAGGAGGCTTGGGAACAAAGAACCGTCACGACTTAAGTACAGGGCGCTAGCATGATCTGCCGTTCTTGCAGATACCGATACACTCTTTTGTAAAACACGCCATACCATACAGGCTATGGTTGTTGTGCTACTTTGAAACGATGATTTTAACAGGGGCTCGGCCTTGGGGGTACCTTCTGAATGGTGTGGAGGGGATTGCCTATGCATTCTGTCCCAGCCTGCCTTGAACGTTACGCCTTCTAAATTGCGTTTATCTTTGGAGCTCAAATGGAGATACCAGTATCATTCTGAAAGAGACCAAATGCTGCAGGCATGCATACAGTATACGGTGTATCCAATTGAAGCATCATCATGGCTCACACACACAAACCAAAAGGCCAGCAAGATCATAAAAAATGCAGGGGTAAAGCAGCAGAGCAGACACCATCTCCATCGTTAATTCTGTGGTAGTATGCAGACAACAACCTCTTCAAGGAGATGTGGGCCGTGACAGCCATCTCTCCGCGCTCATTCTTCATTATAGAAGACGCTTCATTGTTCAAGTCCTGACACCACCTTCATCATCCACTTCATCACCTGCTTCATCATCTGATTCATCATCTGAATCCGTATCAAATAAACCCCATGTCATGGTAACGAGCTTATTTGCCACCTCATGGTCCCGAGTATCTTCGCTCATGAACAACTTCTGCAGGAGGGAGTGAAGTTAGAAGCAGGTATGAAAGATGTTACAATTGGTGTCTCAACGGGACACACTGACCTTTACAATGTCAGGACCAGTTTCACGATCCAACTGCTCGAAAAGCCTTTTGAAAGTAGCCAGCGCACCAGCTCGGCCAGCAACTTTTAGAACATCAGGAACTGTTTCCTCATCAATCTCCGCAAAGTGGTCATCAACAATCAGGTGTAACTTGCGATCCATGACCTTGACTAGATTGGAAACATCGTACTCATGTGCCGCTTCAAGTAGAGAAACTCCACTCTGTAGGAGATGGCAATTAGAAACTCGACAACTTATTAAATGCACTTAGGGACTGGAACACATTAGCGCGACGTATGCATACCTTGATGGACTCCAATGAAACTGTTATTTCATGACCACACATAAACGAAAGAAATTGCTTCAATGCCGGACCATCCAGCTCCTCTATTTTCACAATCTGTTTTTTCTTGCTTGGATTGCTCTTCCACTTGTTTTCCAGCAGCGAAGACCTGAATAGAAGAAAAGCGATGATCATGTGAAACCGCATAAAAACATCTTTTTACTTACGACAGCGATAGGTACCATATGGCGACGATGTTGCGATGTGCTGGAATCCTGGTCCCATCAGAGGCCTCAAACAAGACGTCGCTGAACTCTGCTTTGTCAAAAATGTCTTTGAATTTTGATACATATTCTGGCGCCGCTAGACTGCAAGCGAAAGAATTCACTTAGATATGCATTCGCACGTCATGAGCTTTGCAGTGGAAAGGAACTTTATTACTGCATGTCCATTATAGATTGGCAGCAAATGGTGTTGCTGAAGCGGGAATGCTCCTGCCAGGCAAACCAGCTGCGTGTTTGAGGAAACAAGAGTCTGGCGACACTGCTGATTGTAGTGATGTGCAAGTGCAGGTCTTCCTGCACGGAGCGAGTTCCAGCAATATTTGAGGCTAGGGAGGGAGCGTACTGTACTAGGACTCGGCTGTCGCGATTTATTCGTCAGAGTCACGCATTCGATACTCTTCGATTTGTTCGTCTCAAGTGTCGCAGAAAGCAAAATGTACCAAGAATGTACACTCTGATCTCGATCTTGCAATACGGTAAGATGGTGGAAAACTATTTTGGCAGTAGATGACCACTTACCAGCTGAGAATTTGCCTTTGCCATCTTCCATATTGGATAAGGCAGCAAAACAAAACAAAAAAAGCAGCAAAAAATACGGTAATAGCTTTGCAACTCATCTTCGTGGTTTTGGGTTGGCATGGGACCAACAGGTACAAATGGGGTGGCTAAGATCGTATAGAATGACGCAGAATGCAGAGCTGGTGCAAAAGAGTAAGGTTGGTCTACTACACGTGCACAAGGAAACAGTGCTTTAACAAGGAGCCTTGGAGACAGGGTAGACAGTTACCGGTATCAACATCCTGATATGCAGCAGGCTGGAGAGCAGAGTTACGGTAGCTATTGGTTGAGCATCCGGGCAAATGGCAGTTTGTACAAACGGTAATAAACAACGAGCTAGCTGTACGTGGTACATAGGGGCAATGGTGGTTTTCTCGAGGCCATAAGGCACAAAGCTACGGGTACTTATACGTGGGCGCAGCGGTGGTGGGGGGAGCAGGAGGCATTCTCCTTCCCATGCCCACACCACTCAGCATCTGCCGCAGCGGGGAAGGATTGCGGGGCTGACCAGCCGCAATCGGCGCACCCATTGGCTGCCCCATGGGTTGACCCATAGCAGCACCTCCACCCATAGGAGGAGCACCCATAGGCGGTGTTCCCCTTGAGCCCCCACTGCTGCCGTAGCCTCCTGCTGCACTGGCACTGCTGCTCATGCCAACACTCCCGCCATACCCCGCAGTGCCAAGGCTCGCGCTGTTAGCCATGCCCATGGGGCTCCCTCCTCCTCCCATGGGAGATGTCATAGGGGCCATGCTCACGCTGGTTCTAGGGCCGTAGGAGATGGATGGAGATGGGGAGGGCGCAGATCCTGGGCCCCCTGCCCCACCTGCCCCTCCTCCTGCTCCTCCTCCTGCTCCTGCTCCTGGTCCTCCTCTCCCTGCGGCTGCAGCTGCAGCTGCGGCTGAAGCCACCGCAGCAGAAGCAGCGGATTGGGATGCAGCAGGAGCGGGGGACGAACCTGTTCCTGCCGAGCCTGAACCCTTGGGAGCTCCGGAGGAGGTTCGGGAAGGCTTGGAGGAGGTTGGGGAGAGAGCAGGGGCGGATGATCTAGGAGATGGAGCATCGCTCTCTTGCACTGTCGCCATGGGCGATGCTTTGTTGAAGGCTGCCCTCCAGTCATCCACCTTCTCCTTCTCACCTGCGCCGGCCTCCTCTTCTGCTGACGCCCTCGCCTCATGCAGGCTCAGCGACCGCTTCAGCTTCAGCAGAGCGTTCTGCAGGTGCTTGAAGCGCTCCCTCTTCCCCTTGCTCTCCATGTCCTCTTGGAGCAGCACAGACAGGCTGTCATCAGATAGTTCACTGCACGGAAGACAAAGAGAGAGAGGGGCAGAGAGAAACAGCCGAAGCACAGGGAGCACAATGGGCTTCACCTTCATTCAATGAAACCATCTTGTTCAATGAAACCATCTTGTTCATCCAATCAATTAACAAAACTAATTATCGTACCTGACTTTCTGGTACAGCTTTGTGAGCATGGCGTCCTTGGCCTTCTCCACTTGCGTCAGCACTATGGCCTGAAGGGGGGGAAGGGGGGCAGAAGGGGGGGGAGCAAAATGTGAAACACATGCAAGGGTGCAGAGATTGGTGTGTGAGCATGGCGTCCTTGGCCTTCTCCACTTGCGTCAGCACTATGGCCTGAGAGTGGAGAGGGGGGCAGCGGGAGGGAGCAGTGTAGCACGGGCATGAGTAGGTGAGAGCAAGGGGATATCAACCTGCAGGTGTGAGGTGCCCATGAGGAGCGTCTGAGCATGGCGTAGTTGGCATGGCGGGTGTATAAGCATGGCGATTCTTCAGTCGACAAACCCCATGCCCGTATCTCTCTAGCTTTCCCTTCTCCCACCCACCCACCCACCTTGGGGATGTTATCAGCCAGGTGAGCCAGCACAGCATGCACGTATCGCCTCACTTCAGTCGCCATGGCCTTGAGCTCCTCCTCCGGACTCACCACCCGCTGATTGCCCCCCCCAGCCGCCCCCTGCTGCCCAGGCGCAGGGGGAACGCCCCCCCCAAGTCCCCCTAGCCCGCCCTCCCCCTCCCGCTCCCCGTCCGCGCCCCCGGAGTCGTCCCCTGCTTCCCCCCCGCCTGCTGCTTCTGGCGGGGGTGAGGGCGCTTCTTTGAATGCCTTGGTGTGGCTGCTCAGGCGCTGCACCCACTGCTGCTTCTCTGCCAGGCTGTCAGCCCGGAGGATGAGAGCGTTGTGCACTGCAATGGGAGACACAGGCAGGGTGGAACAGGCGGGTGGATGGCAGGAGAAGAAGGGGGGGGGAGAAGGGGGATATGAGTGAGAGAGTTTGGTGTGTCTGCGAAGCCGCTGCACGCACTGCTGCTTCTCTGAAATGATGCCAGCGTGAAGGATCAGGGATCCGTGAAAGGTGTGAAAGGTTGCAGGAGAGGGGCATCCTTTCAAAGTGGAACAAGCGGGCAGATGAGAGAGGAAGGGAAGAGACGGGGGTCAAAGCGGGGAAGGGATACTTGTCTGAAAGGTTGGTGTGAGAGGGAGCTCCAGCGCCTCACAGATCACAACAGAGACAGAACGGAGAAATGCAGAACCCCAACTCGCCCAGAACCTTAACTCGTTGCGCAAGCAGATTTGACCAGGCCGTGTGTGTTGTGCATTCGCGGCTCTTGAGAGACTCACTAGTAGACTATGATCAGCTCACTGTTACATGGTAGCTACTCACCTTTGACCACGGTATTGAACGTAGTGCAATTACCAGTAATGCTATACTCACCTTTGACCAAAATCTACAGTCACCTTCAACCCTAATTTGCAATCACCTTTAACCCTAATCTCACCTTTGACCCTAATCCACGGTCTTGTACGGGGTGCGATTACTGATTTTGAACGACAGCGACTGGGCGGAGGGGCTTCCAGACTTGAGATCAGACGCTGAGGGCACCTCCTCTGGGGGGAGATTGTCGTCCACTATGCAGTCCTGCAGAGAAGGAAAGGGGGCGAGGGGGAAGTGTGTGTGCTATGTTGACGTGGCATGAAATCCTTGAGGATCAACGCAGATGGGACCTCTTCTGGAGATAGATAGTCCTCCACTATGCAGTACTTGGGTTACGGGGAAGTGTGTATGGTACGGGGAGAGTGTGAAGAGTGTGTGTGTGTGTGTGTGCGTGTGCGTGTGCGTGTGCGTGTGTGTGTGCGTGTGCGTGCGTGTGTGTGTGTGTGTGTGTGTGTGCGTGTGCGTGCGTGTGTGTGTGCGTGCGTGTGTGTGTGTGCGTGTGTGTGTGTGTGTGTTCGTGTGTGTGTGTGTGTGTGTGTGTGTGTGTGTGTGTGTGTGTGCGTGTGTGCGTGTGCGTGTGTGTGTGCGTGTGCGTGTGTGCGCGCGTGTGTGTGTGTGTGTGTGTGTGTGTGTGCGTGCGTGCCATGTTGACATGACATCAAAATCCCTGAGGTAAGCCAGTGATTCCTCAAGAGCCGTGATGCCTCAAGAGACATTTTAAGCTGACTGGAGGAACAGCAAGTGGCAGGTGGCAGCAATCAAAGGGCTGGTACACACCTCAAGGGGGATGACGCCTCTAGGAGTCTTTTCGTCAGGCTTCTTCACGTAGTAGAGCTGAAGGGAGGGCACGCAAACAGAGGGGAGGAGGGGGCGTGTAGGCGGAAGGGGGAAGAGGAGGGATGGAAAGAGAGCGGAGATGGATGAGATGAGAGGTCATGGAACACGGTTGATACTGATGATAAGCAACGGGGTGCTGTGCTACTTCACGCACTCTATGCCAACCCTGCATGTCATTGGTGGAACCGAGTGTGTGTCCTCTGATGTTTGAGTCAACTAAAACATTGTCTGTGTACCGTGCGTGCGTGCACTGCACGACGAACTCAGTATACAGTAACCACCTGCTCTGTTCCTTGCTTTGTTCCTCTCCGTGCACTGTTCGTACTGTAGCGAGCGTGATGTCCTGCAGTAGCCGATTCTTGAGGCTCTTCGAAAATCACCTGCCCTGCAGTACACTCACTCGAGAAGACTCCATCACTCACAACCTCACTCACTCACTCACGCACTCACACTCAAACACTCGTTCACTCGCTCACTCACCCTGGCAGTCTTGTCGCTGAGGGCGAACCACCGCTTGCTCCACCCGCCCTTGGAGCTCACCTTCCACAGAAACCCTGCAGAGCACGAGACAGCGAAGAGGGGTAAAAGGAATGTAGATCACTCTTTAACAACCCTCTCTCCTCATGCATTGCATTGCAGCATGTACCAGAACTGGCTTGCTCCACCCGCCCTTGGAGCTCACCTTCCACAGGAACCCTGCAGGGCATGAGAGTCCAAGGCATAAGAGAACGAAGAGGGGGAAAAGGAGTGTAGATCACTCGTAAACAGTCCTCTCTCCTCAGGCATTGCAGCATGTACCAGAACTGGCTTGCTCCACCCGCCCTTGGAGCTCACTTTCCGCGGGAACCCTGGAAGCCTCGAGCGAGCGACAGGAAAAGTGGGGAGAAGCGAAGCAGAGAAATCATGGGCCTTTCAATACCCCTCTCCTCAGGCATTGGAGCATGTACCAAAGCTTACTTTCTTTCCACAAAGAGCCTGATGGCCCTGGCTGGTGGCAGCAGCCGAGACTGACACAGAGGGCAAGTGAGAAGGAGGAGCCTTCTACTATTTATTAATAATAATAATAATAAAAACATGACAGGAAGATGCATACCTGCAAGTTCCCGCTGCGGCTCTTGGGGCTGGCTGGGGGCAGCAGCAGCAGCAGCAGCCGAGAATGACGCTGATGGTGGCGGAGGAGGGGGGGCCTCCTTCTTCCGCCCCATCATGAACGAGCCGAACCGACCCTCGCCCTGAATGGGGAAGAGAGGAAGGGAGCAGGGAGGAGAGAAGGAAGAAGAGCAGGGAACATCAGGAAGGTAAGAAACGACCCCCGACAATTCGCCGAAATTCTGCAAGCTGCCCGCACCAGAGCCGTGGAAGCAATTAAAAAAGCAAACATCATCGCTAAGCGCAACGCTGACCGCCACCGCCGCCCAGTCACATACCAGTCAGGGGATTACGGACTGCTCGACACGCAAAATCTGCGACTGCCCGACGTACCGAAACTTCGACCGCGCTACTGTGGCCCATTCCAAATCAGCCACATGATCACGCAAGTAACCGCGCACCTACTGTTACCGACCGACTGGTACATCAGCCCATCGTTCCACGTCAGCCTACTTCGCCCATACATCCCAACCACCAGCCAACTGCCTCGTCACCGCCCGCATTCCATGACTCGCCCTGCATCGGAGCCGATCATCGAGCCCGAAAAAATCCGAGCCATCGGATTCGCCACCCCACGGGAATCAGGAGGATTGAATTTCTCGTTCGCTGGAAGGATCGAGGCGTGAGGTCCAGGCAGAGGGCAGGCAGACCGCGCTCGCACCCGCTCGTGCTGCCATTACCGCGGGGAATCTGCACAGCGCCCTGGCATCTGCAGGTCCTATCGCGGCCTCGGTCGAGGTCAAGGCGGAGAAACGCGGACGGGGTGGCAAGAAGTTGCCCCCTCCACCCGTGTACACGATCGACGAGGACGATGCGGACGAGGAGCTGGAGGGTCTCGTGAGCAGGTGGGTCGAGGCGGGCGACGGAGGAGAGCAGGGTGGGGAGGCCGCGGTCGATGTTTATAGCGGCGGGGAGAGCGCGGACGAGCAAGACGGAGACCCCGTGGTCGTGGCAGGTGGCACAGCGGGAGGACACGGTGACACCGGCTCCAAGCGCAGGGGCTGCGGTATCCGCGTGCCACCCAGGGGCGGGCCCGGTTGGTTTCTGAACCCCATCTGGGGGGGAAGAAGCGATGGCTCGGACACGGCGACCGCGAAAACCTGCAGTACAAGACCGCGATCGCGATGCTTCCCTACGACGGGAAGGTGGACCCCGGGCTGAACCTGAGCCAGAAGCAGATCCGAGACTGGGCCGCGAACCTGTCCATCGCCGAGGGGTTACATACGGGCCTCTTAATCACCATGCACTACCGCAACCTCGTGGCAAGCAAGGACAGGTGAGCTGTGCCAAACCACCGCGGTCATCTAGTGCGTTCATACGGTTTGGTATGTTATCATGTTCTGGCCGCTCCAACCCACTGCGTGGCAGGTGGCAACGCATGTTCGAATCCTATCGCGGGCTAACCAAGCCCGGAATGCACACCACCAACGTGATTGCATGGGCCGCGGTGGTTGGCAAGGAGGCTGCAGCAGAAGAAGCGGATCTCGGCGATGTGGAGCCGACGGACTACGCGGGAGCGATCGCATGCGCCATTGCAATGGTGTGGGAGGTCACTCGCGGTTCTAACGTCACTGCCGCAGCGGATAATGGAAATCTTGCTATGGAGAGCGAAGCCGTCTCTTCCCCGTAGTATCCGCGTACGTCATCAATGCGGTGCGGAAGCGCAATCGCCGCGAACATCAGCAGGCTGAGGAAGATGAGCCACAGGTTGTCGCGGACCCGAAGGCGGTCGCCGCCGCGATCGTGTCTGGAGTCGTGAACGAGGTCGTTGCCAAGTCTCCCGATCTCAGGCACATTGAGTTGGCCGCCCGCGAAACGGTGGACGTTATAATCACCTGGTGCGACTGCTCGGTGGCAGGGAAGCAGATGGAGTCATTGGGTCTGTACCTTGCCCTGCCCAGGGATCGTCTGAAGAAGCGGACTTGAGTGCGTGTAGTATCGCGTAGCATGTGCGCAGCTTGTCCGCCCTGCTTGAGTTCTACTCGCGGTGGATTGTGCTGGGCTTGCGGATCTGTGCGTGAACCTTTGTTGGATTCAGTGTGTGCGTGTGTTTGCGCGTGTGACATTTTAGTAGTAATCTGCATTCGACTCAGGTATTCCCACACACATTATCACTGTACACACTACGACGCGAACAATCTATGTACATTAGGCAACAACAGCCTGCGATTACCGCGGCCGCGATGTAATTCTGTCTATGCTGTGTAATCCCTTCCGTTCTTTGCCATCCAACACTTTGCTACACATGCCACCTCCTTCCGAGCGCACAACGAATGCATGCAAATCTCCGCATGCCTTGTCCCCATCAGGCACAGACATGCTTAGGCCGCGAACAAGGGCAAATGCGTTCAATACAGACAACGCGATACATCCTATCATGGGAGCCAACGCTACTACATACACACCTCGATCGCGATACAAACAGTATCCGTCAGCATCAACGGGCAACCAGTGTATTCTCAAATGCAATCAAACGCGACCTTGGCTGTTTTTAACATGGCAGCATCCATCTGTCCCCCTAACGCGACCAACCAAATTGTTCAAGGATTTATTCAAGGATATGTTCACCCATTTATTCTAGCGCCGGCATCTGTGCACAGTACTGCGGCCACGCGATCGGGAACTCGGACGCGGGAAGCGATGCATCGACGAGGCGGTCGCGTACAAGCATCCACTTCACACGCAACTGCACCTCCACAGGAGTACCCTTCTTGAGCTGGCTCAGTTCCAAGTCAACACTCTTCTTCTTTACCGCGATCCCTTCCAATACACCCGACATGCCCACAGCTGCTGACACGAGGTCGAGCTTGTCGAGCACTACCGCGATGTTGTCTCCCTGCTCCAACCTGTGAGCGATGAAGTCCATGACTCGCTTGGCACGGTTTATCGCGTTCGATGCTCCCTCCTTGCCTATAATCTCGGCCATTCGCGTAACTGCACCGCGAGGCTGGGCCAGAAGCGACTCTGGACTCTCGCGGATCAGCGGGTGCGTGGTCTTGTACAGCTTCCATCCGTCTGAGGGTTTGGTCGCGTTGACCCATGGAAGGACGATCGCGTCCCGAATCGTCTGTTCCCTCGTGGGCGGTGCGGGTTTCTTCCGCGTCCCTTGGTCGGTGGGAGTTGTGGCATTGGTAGGCGCGGCCGAGGCGGCCGCGGCTCCAGGAGGGTTTGCAGGGTTCGGGACCGCGGTCGGCCCAGAGCTGCTCACGTTGAGTCGCGATAGCTGGGCCTCCAAATCATTCACGCGCTCGTCCTTCGCGGCCAGCTTCCGTTCGCAATCCTCCAGCAGCCCCTCCAGCTCTTTCACCCGTTTATGAGTCGCGACCAACTCTAGGCCCAGCCTGGTGTTGTCCGCTTGTGAACGGGTCAGGTACTCAGTGAGGACGGTCACTTGGTTCTGCGCGTCCATTCTGGTACTCACCTCCTGCATGGACAGAAAGCGACCGCGAACTTGTTATGGTTTGGCATTGACATCACAGCCGGAAAGATAACGCGACCATGCAGTACTTACCGCGGGCTGGGTCAGTGTAGGTGTGTTGCGCTGTACTATGGCGAGTTGATTTGCCAGAGAGACATCTGCAGCCCAGGACGCAAATTCCTCCGTCTGGCAGAGCGGGTTGTTGACCACGTACGGGTGTCGCGGCTGGTGAATGTAATACATCGCCAGGTCTTGCGCGACCGCCATCCTCGCGTCCCCATCTAGCTCCTTCAGTATGTTTAGCCCCGCGGTGTCCTGCTTCTCCGGTTTCTGCTTTTTGACCATCTTGCGGTTGTACTTTTTGCACTGTGACAAGGAAACAACGCGGTAGTGAACGCGGTGCCAGAGGGTTATGTGGGATGCTCGCGGTCGCGTGAAACTGTTATGCGCGGCCCACACATACCTGTTGCTGTCCTTTGTCAGGGGCGGCCCAGGGAAAAATGTGCTTCTTCAGTAGCTTCTCCAGCTCCGGGCTCACCGGTACAGTTGCGCGACCAAGGAAGTAGTCACCGTCAACCCCGGTGAAGCCAGCCTTCAGCAGCACGGCCTCCCTCGGAATGGTTGTGAGGTAGTGCTTCGTCATCACGTCGATGAAGCGCCAACCCCCCAGCCTCGCCAGCTGATCCGAAGGCATTCCGTCCGCGGACGCGTGCTGCGCCCCCCCAGCCCTGGTCGCGTGTACCGCGCGCGAGCATGTGATTCCCGCGTCCTCGAGAATCCTCGTCGCCCAGTCGTGATGAGTCGTGGGCGGTATTTGCTTCTCGTTGCCCGCGCGAAGGGGGAAGAATAGGTATTCATCGTACCACGTCGAGGGTTCCGTGAAGTCGAGAGGGGGGGCTATGTCCTCGTAGAGGATGGGAACCAAGTCGTACACCCAGTGCAGCCACAGCAGCGTGGCTCCGACCGCGCACAGCGTCCAATCTATGTGCCTCACAGCAGATATGTAGTTGAGAGAGAAGTCCTTGTTTGTCTTGCCCGTCCTGCACGCGCAAACAAACATGAACGCGTTCCTCACTGGATCGGTCTCCGATTTTGCGCCGAGCTTCCACATCATCATGTCTGGCAGCTGCAGGTTTCTGATCGTGCATCCGCGGGCCAGAGTGTGATGACCGAGCACGGTCATCGTCCGGATGCAGAGGTCGCGATGCATTGCCTGCGTGTATGCTTTCTTGGCTAGAGTGAAGCTGGTCAAGATCGCGTCCATGCTGGTCTTCCGCATCATATGCTTGAACTCGTCCGGGGTGTACGTGTCCGCGGCCGTGCCCCGATGGCGATCCATGTGTTCCCTGCGCATCGATTGGGACGTTAGTGCTGGTGTTAGTGGACGCGGTATTGTTGGGCATTAAACGCGTTCACTGAGAACGTATACTTACGCGATAAACCGCTTATACTGGTCGCGTACTTGAACGCGGACCCAGATGCGACACTCCGCGAAGTCGCGCAGCAGGTTCAGAACGGGCTTCCTGAAGATGGCCCCGTCCAGCTTGATGAGCAGGTTCAAAGCCTTGAGACGCCCCATCAGCATTGCCGGGGTGCACTGGCGTCTCTTCTTCAAGGTCTTCTATGGCCGCTTGAGTGTGGCCATCCTGTTCGCCTGCGCGACTGTCTCGTTCGCGAGGAAGGTGACGTATTTGCGTAAGCGCCACGGATTCGTCTCAGGGCCGTGGAACCACTGCTCGTCGCCCTCCGCCAGCTTCCAGTCACCACCCATGTTCTGTTCAAGCGCGGCCCCTATCTCGTCGGGGTTCGCGTTTCTCAACGCGGCCTCCTCACCAAACCTACCCGCGTCCAATTTAGGCAGCTCGTGAGCCATGAACTGCTTGTACTCGTTGGCCCAACCGCGATACTTCTTCAGCGTGGCCTCAGAGACACCGTAGAGGATTCCGTAGCACATCTCTCGTTTCGCGGCCGGCGTGTCGTCCACACCTAGCCTGTTCCAATCCGCGATAGGGACCTCAATGTCCCTCCGCGTACCCCGCACCCGTTCGTTGTCTTCCGCCTCCTCCTCGTTGAGCGCGGACAGCGAGTTCGATAGGTAGTTTTCGTCATCGTCATTCCAACTAACGTCCGCATCGTCATCGTCGTCCTCGTCATCCTCGTCGCTTGCCCCCTCGCTCCCCTCCCGGGAGCCGTTGCGTGCCGTGTGCGGCACGACATCGACTCGCCGCCTCCTTATACGCCCGTAACCGGTACCCCTGCCGCCGTTACCAGTCACCCCATGCGCTCCCTGCCCGTTCGCACTATCCCCGTTCGATCCCACACCTGTCCCACATCCTGCGCTCACTCTCACACTCCTTCCTCTCGCACCTCTCCCTCTAGCCGCGTTCCCTCTCTCCCCTGTCCCTCTTCCCGCGTTCCCTCTCGCACCAGTCCCTATTCCCGCGTTCCCTCTCGCACCAGTCCCTATTCCCGCGTTCCCTCTCGCACCAGTGCCTCTTCCCGCGTTCCATCTCGCACCAGTCCCTCTTCCCCTTCCCGCGTTTCCTCCTGCACCCGCTCCACGCCCAGCGTTCCCCGCGTTCGCATGTGGTTGCCCACCTACACCAGTCGCGTCCGCTACAGCCGGTTGCGCGGGGGTGCGGATGTGGACGTCGGGGTTTCCTGGCAACAGGGAGTTCACATTCCATATTGGCGGTGAATGTGCACGCGCGCTTGCATTCATCCCCGCTCCACCATTCACCGCACGCCCTAAACCACCGGCAACCGCGTTCAACGATGGGCCGTCTGTTCGCGCCCGAGAGTCCAAACCGACAACTAATGCTTCTCTAGGGTCTGGCGGGGCTTGCACCGTTGGCTGGCTTTCCGGATTGATCGCGCTGGGGAATGGTGTTGACGGCGCGACAGGAGGCGTCACGACAGATGCGGGTGCGTGCACCATGGGATTTGGTTGAACGCCGATGTACCCGTAACTGAATCCCACGTTCGCGTACTGCGGCCCTACGAAGCCACGCACAGGCATCCCAAAGAGCTGGCTGGTGGGCACGGACGGGGACGCGATGTGTTGTCCATCAACCTGTGGTCCGGGATGAGGCGTGGATACTCCTTGCGCGGTAACATCGTCCTGTTGATTTTGAAACGCGACAGTCGCTGCCGCAAACGGAATTTGTGGCCGCGGTGCTAGGTGGAGCCCGTTGACTAGTTGTTGTGGGTGGAACGAGGGCATCCGCGCCCCAAAAACCACGGGCTGCACGTATGGGGTGCTCCATGTGGGGTTGAGCGCGTGCAGACCTTGCACGGGAGCGGTGGGCGGTTCGGCATTATGGATTGCGGTTGTGTTGCCAGGAGCACTGATGGAGTCGTGAAATATTGGCGACGCGACGCGATTCACGGTATGCATGCAGCGTGCGAGATTGCCCCTACCCCTATTCACCGCGTGCGTCATCATGATGCGCGGTCAACACTTGTACACCCGGGTGTGACTTAGACCCATCTACCTCGCGACCGATGTGCTCGCGGATATTCGAGCGCGGCACACAACGGGACCGCAATACTGTTGTCCCCTTTTCCTTCTAAGTCAGGTGAATCCAGTGGGTCAGGAAAGGGAAGAGCTTGGTGTGCAACTGGCGATCGGAAGGCCGAAAATGAGGGCATGCTCGGAGAAATGACCGGACAGTGCGTGGACGTGCTTGACACGTTACCGCGATCGCGCATCGACCAAACAGCGACAGCTGTGTGGCTCGTTCAAATTGCTGCACGTGTCAGCCGGCATGGAGCCTACCAAATCGCGCCAGCTGTATCCGAACCGGATCTCGCTGCGCGCTTGCCGAACCTATCCTTGTGCGAAATTTGTTCGCGATATGTTGCGAGATAGCACAGCCAATAGTAGCACTCCTTTGGTGTCGCGAACTCGCAGTTGCATGCGCGGGATGTCCCGCTTGTCAATGTTACCGACCAATCGCATTAGTTTTCTACCGAGTCGCGCATGCATCGGCGCGTAAGAACGAGGTGGGTTCTTTCGGTTTTTTGGGGGTCGCGGAGCTTTCGGTGGCAGCCTGGTGGGTTTCACTGAGCCACGCAGGGCCGCGCTAGGTCCAAACCTGGTGGGATCCTGGGTGGCCGACTTCGCCCCACGCCTCCCGCGATAGCTCCGCGCCCCGTACATCCCAAGGCGTGGGCGGGGTTTTTCCCGAGCCGCGCCGTATGAACATCCCAATTCAACGTGAGCTATTTCTTTGACGGAGAGGCACATAATGAGTCAGTCGAGCAAGATCCACGAAGGGTCATAGCTAGCGTCAACCCTATTTGGAACAGTAAAAAGGTGTATGGCCGACCTACGCCATCCGCCCTACATCGTGCACGACCACACACCCCAAGCCGCGATTCTAACCCCGCCGTTTCTGGATGGTATTCGTGGCTACGAGACTCGAATGATTATATTACCAATCGTGAGACGCCACAAACGCACCGCAAAAGAGGGGATGTAGGGTTGCAGGGCTTTCAGAGCCCCTTCCCCCAACCACGCGCATCCACGCCACGAGGGCTTTGTGGTTGGCTGTTTCGTAGTGGGACAAGAAATAACATCCGCAAGTGTGAACGCTTCCCCTACCTCACGAACTCTCAACCGGAAACCGCAAAACCTTTTCACTTCGCGGAAGTGGTTACTCGTCGTTGTCCTGTCCTCAACACAAATCCTCGGTCAATTCACCTGTCGTGAACCCAGTAGCGGCGCTAGCGACAGCTAGCGAAATTCGGTGAGAGCGCGCGGTGCGTCGTTTTCTTGGGGTCTCCAGTCCGGTCCAGTCCATCTCCCACCATCCATCTGCTGTACCTTCTGTCCCCCTTCACCGCCCCGCCTCATCTCCCCTCCCCCTACGTCGTCAATCCCGAGGCCAATAAACTGCGCCTGCGTTCTTCCTTTTTCGTCATCAATCCCTTCCCGCCACTGTACCACCTGTCATCTCATCCCGTCGATTTCACAGCGATCGCTTTTTATCCCAGCAAGCACCCGTTGCTGCTGTCATTTTCGCTGTCACGCTCCGTACTTGCCATCCTCGCCACGACCGCCAGTCCGCCTCCCTCCGTCCTCGCCGGGGTTTTTCCCACATTGCGATTCTCGCTTCTGACTGATTCTGCTAGTTCTGTCTAGCGCCCAAGTCAATAGCTCAGCTGCGACCCGCACTGATACAGACAGCTCACCGCCGCATTCGGGGATCGACGCCTTATCCAAAGTCGACGCCGTTTCTCTTTATATTCGGCGAAGGACACTACGATGTTTCAAACCGTCAGCACACGCGACTTCGCCAGCAAGCGGCGGTCGGTTAAGTTAACTGCTGCCGGTGACACTGACGGCAACGGCGAAAGTCGCCGTTCAGCCCGGCGAGCGTCCGCCATTCGCGCCGGCTCTTCAGGGGAAGGACGGCGAGGAGGTAACGGTGGAAAAGCATCCGCGACCGACGCGGCGGCGACAGCGGGGAGTAGCCGAAGCCGGCGCAAATGGACGCAGTCGAGCGGCAATCGCGCGGCGCCATCGACGGCGGAAGATGCGGTGCAGGCGGAACTGGCGGCGACGCCGGGGCTGCTGGAGCCGATGCGCGTCGAGCTGATACCTGAGGTGAGGGTCGCTTGACACGAGGCTCATGCACACGGACAGCGGCACCGCCATGTTCCGCCACATGGACAAGTGCTCCTCCGTGCCGCCGCACCTTCGCTCTCTCGCCCATCAACTTACCCCTCTTCCCTCTCCCCTTTTCCCCTTTCTCTTCCCCATCCCTCCGCCGCTTTCTTCCGCGCCCCCTCCCCCTCCCTCCCCCCCGCCAGGAGGGGAAGGTGGACAGCTACCGCATAAAGGCGGGCATGAAATCCCGGCACCCCCCAGGCGTGATCTACGGCCTCCTGCGCGACTTCAAGCGCGGCCCCGCCATTTTCCGCCACATGGACAAGTGCTCCTCCGTGCCGCAGCCCGACGGGAGCCTGCTCGTCGTGCAGAACGTCAAGTGGCGGTTCCAGCTGTTCTCGGGGAAATTCGACCTCGCGCTCTACTGTCATTGTGACGACGCAACACGCACGATCACGTACCGACTGTAAGTCCGTTTTGAGTCTGGACTCAAAGAGTCGTGCCGAACGTCAAGTGGCGGTTCCAGCTGTTCTCGGGGAAATTCGACCTCGCGCTCTATTGCCACTGCGACGATGCAACACGCACAATCACGTACCGACTGTGAGTTTGTTTTTGAGTCGACTCGGGGAGAATGTGTAGAGTCGTGCAGAACGTCAAGTGGCGGTTCCAGCTGTTCTCGGGGAAGTTCGACCTGGCGCTCTACTGTCATTGTGACGACGCAACACGCACGATCACGTACCGACTGTAAGTCTGTTTTGAGTCTGGACTCAAAGATTCGTGCAGAACGTCAAGTGACGCTTCCAGCTGTTCTCGGGGAAATTCGACCTGGCGCTCTATTGTCACTGCGACGATGCAACACGCACTATCACATACCGACTGTGAGTTCCAGATGATTTTTCGGGTGTAGGCTTTGCTAGCCTCATTTTCTTCTATTGCAAACAATGTTTGTTTGTTTGTTTGTTGTTTTTTTTTTTTTTTTTTTTTTTTTTTTTTAACGTGACTCTAATCATACCCTCACTCCGCTTTCCGTTTCCATGTCTCCTCTCCTTCCTTTCCTCATTCTCTCTCTCAGGGCATCTCCTGGATTCATGAAAGATTTTGTCGGCACATCAACCATTCGCAGCCTCTCTTCCCTCCCTCACACCCCACCCTCCTCCTCCTCCTCCCTGCCTCTCACCGTTCCCGGCACACGCACTATCAGCCATCCCCAGCCTCTGCTACAGCCAGATCTACAGCCCCAGGCACCTCAGCCTAAGCCCTTGCACCCGGCGGTACAGATAAAGCCGCTACAGCCGCGCCTCCCGCTACAGCAGCGGCTGCTACAGCTGCAGCAGGCGATTCCCCTCGGCCGCTTCCCCGCTCAGCTGCTGGCGTTCGGCCGAGTGGCTGTGGGGGAGCCTCGGATCGAAGGCGAGGGGCTAGGAGGGGGGATTCTGGGTGGGTGGCCGCGGATGGGTGATGGAGCTGCTTCTGCTGTGCCCGTGGCAACAGCAGCAGGAGCAGTAGGAGCATCAGCAGGAGCAGGAGCAGGAGGAGCGGTAGGGGGCATGGTAGGAGGAGTTAAGATTGGCGGAGGCGTGCTGTGGAACAGTGGCATGTCGGCAGGTGCTGCTTCAGAGCTGGTGAAATGTGAACCGTCAGATTGCGGGTCGGTGATTGAGATCGTCCAGAGGGTCGAACCAACTGCGTTGCCGCTTGGCCCTTTGAGTAAGTGCCGGACCTGAGTCCAAGTGTGCATGCATGCCCTATTTTTGAAGCGCTTTAAAAGTAAAACTGCCAACTTGCCGCTGGGCCCTTTGATTAAGTGCCTGAGTCCATCCAAGTGTGCATGCATGCCCCACTGCTTCCATCTTTACCTCTATTGCTCATATAGTTGCGGCGCATTGCTCGTGTGTCCGTGCCCTAGAGCTTACCGGTATTAGTGCCCACTCACTTCCTTCCATTCAACTTCGTGTCCTCATGTCTGCATTTCCCCGTCTTTTCTCGTCTCCCTTGCTCCTCATCCCTACTTCCCACTCTGTTGCTGCCCCTTCTCCTTCACCTCGACAGCCCAGTACATATTGGGTTACATCATTACAAGCCAAATGCGAGGGCTGTTCCATGACCTATGTGTGGAGGCGACAAACATTGAAGCGAGGAATATAGCGGAACAGGCAAGGTTAAAGGCTGCTGCTGCTACTGCTGCTGCCAATGCGCGTGCTGCTGGTCAGGAAAATGGTTCGCATAAGGGGAAAAGTGTTTATAAGGTGTTGGGTTTGTGGAATAGCATCGCAGTAGCTCCAGTTTAAGCTAGCGGACTGAGGGCAAAAGACTTGCTATGGTATTTTTCTGTTTGGTTTTTCTAACATGTCTTGTAAGTAAACATTGTGAAGCGCACATTTGTTATTTTCAAATCAGCAGGAGTGGCGCTGGTTGGAGTGGACAGGAACCTGATTTCTCTGTATCGAGTCACGCACGCCTCGGTGTTTCCAAGGCTTGATCTCTCAATTTTGTTTGACAGGCGCACAGAGCGGTGAATGGATCAAGCAGCTGGATTGTGCACAGCAACGCACTTAACCGTTATTCACCGAGTTGAAAGCAGAAAGCGCAACCATGAAACTACAACCAATAAGCAGACACACACCAGCACGGCACGGGTATTAGACCTAGATTTCTTGCACATCGACTCGGCTCGCCTAGACGGACTTACATGTAGCGATCGTCTTTTTTTTTTGCGTCGCGTTCGTTTCGGTCGGCGCAGTCCAGAGATACGGAGGGACCTTTGTCCCCGTCATAAGCTATGCTCACGTGCTAGGGACAATCCAGGTCAATCCAGTCGCCACGAGACTCGGATTACTAATAATAGCTCAGGATCAACGCATAGAACTGTAACACTGTCACGCGTGGTAAGGCCACGTGGCGGTTTATTTTTGCACGTTTGAGTCGACTCAAAAGTCTCCCGCGTGGTAAGGCCGGGTGCTGTGGGATCAGAGCACCTTTTTCACGTCATCTGCGAGACTGGTTTACGGCTTTTCGTAGCTAGTATCGTGGAGTTCGAGGAGACTACTAAGCTGGACTAATACATCTCGTGTTCTACCATTAGCTGTCGTATCACTCGAAGTTGAGTCAGCTTATAAGGGGTACTACTATTAGCGGTGTCAGTATGAGCTCTGGAGCGCATACCCAGCATCTAACCAATCCAGGAATGCCACCTGGGCCTCCGCCTGGTCCCCCACCTGGCATGCTTCCAGCATCCGGGCCATATTCAGGCAACCCATACGGAGCCGCCAACGCACATAATGCATCGTCCTACGCTGCTCCTAATTCTACTTACGTTCCTAATCAGTCGCTTCCCCTTCCGCCTCCGCCTCCTCCGCCCACCAGCGGAGACCTTCCGCTTCCCCCTCCTCCGCCGTACCCCCCTCCCCCTTCCGGCTCCCACCAACCCGCACCTCCTCCCCCGCCTCCCCCCACGTCCGATCCCCCGCTGCCCCCTCCCCCGCCCTTCCCGCCGACGCATTCTGCGCTTCCGCCTCCCCCGCCTCCCCCATCCGCTCCTGGCGCGGGAACTCTCGCCCTTCCGCCACCCCCTTCCGCTCCGCAGCCCCCGTCCGCGGAGAAAGGGCGGCATGCAGGGGGAGATGGGCGGAGAGACAAGCGCGGAGCAGGCGGGGATGGGGGAGACGGGCGGAGAGATAGGCACCAGCATAGTCACCATTCGCAACAGTCACAGCATCACCAGCAGAAGCCGTCGCAACCAGGATCACACCAGCACAATCAGCAGCAGCAGCAGCAGCAACACCAGCAACAACAACACCAGCAGCAGCAGGGGGAGAAGCACAGGCACTCGGCACACGCGCAGGCTGGGGGGAAGAGTAGCCACGCGGGCGGGGGGGGTGGGGGAAGCGGGGCGCTGGTCCCCGCGCGCGGTAGGGACGCGCCTGGGGGAGCAGCTGGCGGGGGAAGCGGCGCAACAGGGGGAGCAGCAGGCGCAGCAGCAGGGGGGGCTAAGGACGAGAACCGGCTGAAACGGCCGTCGACGTTCCAGTGCAGAGTGAGGTGCGAGGGAATGGGGTGCGGTGTGATGCGGTTGAGGGGGGTTTGAGTGAGGGCCAGGGGGTTTTAGTGGGGTGGGGTAAAAGGGGCTCTTCACTATCCCCCCTCATCCCCCTCGATTCCTCCTTTTCTGCACATTTCTCTACCCTCCCCCACACTTCCCAACACTTCCCCACACTCCACACTTTCCATACTCACCCACTATCTCCCACACTCCCACCCTCATGATCTACCCTCTCCTCAGGTTCACTAATACCCTGCCAGAGGCAGCGTCGCAGCCAAAGCTGCTGCCTCTCGTGTGTGCTTGAGTCGACTCAAACCATCCTGAGGAATCCCGAAATCCCTGCACCCCCCCACTCACACAACCCCCCCTCCCCACCCCCTCTTTGCCTCCCTCAGGTTCACTAATACCCTGCCAGAGCCAGCGTCACAGCCGAAGCTGCTGCCTCTCGGGGGGGACCCGCACCGGTACTCCGCGTACCACGTATCGACTCTGGAGGCGGATCATCGGCACCGATTGCACGTGGAGCCTGATTTGGGGATTCCCCTGGACCTGCTCGACCTATCCGCCTACTGGTTAGTTGTTTCATTCGCATGTGTGCACTCAGCCCCGCTACTCCGCCTACCATGTGTGTGCGTTCCCTCTTGAGGCGGACCACCGACACCGCCTGCACGCGGAGCTGGATTGGGGATTCCATTGGATCTGCTCGACCTATCCGCCTACTGGTTAGTGATTGCTGGATTCAGTCAGTCAGTCAGTCAGTCAGTCAGTCAGTCAGTCAGTCAGTCAGTCAGTCAGTCAGTCAGTCAGTCAGTCGGTCAGTCAGTCACATGGGTGTGTATCACTGGTTGGTCTACCCTCCTTCCCTCCGTGTCTCTTCTCCCCCCCAGTGCCCCGCCCCCTCCATTACGCGGCATTACCATTACGCGGCATTACCATTACGCGGCATTACCATTACGCGGCGTTACCATTACGCGGCGTTACCATTACGCGGCGTTACCATTACGCGGCGTTACCATTACGCGGCGTAACCATTACGTGGCGTTACCATTACGCGGCGTAACCATTACGCGGCGTTACCATTACGCGGCGTTTCCATTACGCGGCATTACCATTACGCGGCATTACCATTACGCGGCATTACCATTACGCGGCGTTACCATTACGCGGCGTTACCATTGCGCGGCGTTACCATTGCGCGGCGTTACCATTGCGCGGCGTTACCATTGCGCGGCGTTACCATTGCGCGGCGTTACCATTGCGCGGCGTTACCATTATGCGGCGTTACCATTACGCGGCGTTACCATTACGCGGCGTTACCATTACGCGGCGTTACCATTACGCGGCGTTACCATTACGCGTCGTTACCATTACGCGGCGTTACCATTACGCGGCGTTACCATTATGCGGCGTTACCATTACGCGGCGTTACCATTACGCGGCGTTACCATTACGCGGCGTTACCATTACGCGGCGTTACCATTACGCGTCGTTACCATTACGCGGCGTTACCATTACGCGGCGTTACCATTACGCGGCGTTACCATTACGCGGCGTTACCATTACGCGTCGTTACCATTACGCGGCGTTTCCATTACGCGGCATTACCATTACGCGGCATTACCATTACGCGGCATTACCATTACGCGGCGTTACCATTACGCGGCGTTACCATTGCGCGGCGTTACCATTGCGCGGCGTTACCATTGCGCGGCGTTACCATTGCGCGGCGTTACCATTGCGCGGCGTTACCATTGCGCGGCGTTACCATTATGCGGCGTTACCATTACGCGGCGTTACCATTACGCGGCGTTACCATTACGCGGCGTTACCATTACGCGGCGTTACCATTACGCGTCGTTACCATTACGCGGCGTTACCATTACGCGGCGTTACCATTATGCGGCGTTACCATTACGCGGCGTTACCGTTACGCGGCGTTACCGTTACGCGGCGTTACCGTTACGCGGCATTACCATTACGCGGCATTACCATTACGCGGCGTTACGCGGCGTTACCATTACGCGGCGTTACCATTACGCGGCGTTACCATTACGCGTCGTTACCATTACGCGGCGTTACCATTACGCGGCGTTACCATTATGCGGCGTTACCATTACGCGGCGTTACCATTACGCGGCCTTACCATTACGCGACGTTTCCATTACGCGGCATTACCATTACGCGGCGTTACCATTACGCGGCATTACCATTACGCGGCGTTACCATTACGCGGCGTTACCATTACGCGGCGTTTCCATTACGCGGCGTCACCATTACGCGGCGTCACCATTACGCGGCGTTACCATTACGCGGCGTTACCATTACGCGGCATTACCATTACGCGGCATTACCATTACGCGGCGTTACCATTACGCGGCGTTACCATTGCGCGGCGTTACCATTGCGCGGCGTTACCATTGCGCGGCGTTACCATTGCGCGGCGTTACCATTGCGCGGCGTTACCATTGCGCGGCGTTACCATTGCGCGGCGTTACCATTATGCGGCGTTACCATTACGCGGCGTTACCATTACGCGGCGTTACCGTTACGCGGCATTACCATTACGCGGCATTACCATTACGCGGCATTACCATTACGCGGCGTTACCATTACGCGGCGTTACCATTACGCGGCGTTACCATTACGCGTCGTTACCATTACGCGGCGTTACCATTACGCGGCGTTACCATTATGCGGCGTTACCATTACGCGGCGTTACCATTACGCGGCCTTACCATTACGCGACGTTTCCATTACGCGGCATTACCATTACGCGGCGTTACCATTACGCGGCATTACCATTACGCGGCGTTACCATTACGCGGCGTTACCATTACGCGGCGTTTCCATTACGCGGCGTCACCATTACGCGGCGTCACCATTACGCGGCGTTACCATTACGCGGCGTTACCATTACGCGGCATTACCATTACGCGGCATTACCATTACGCGGCGTTACCATTACGCGGCGTTACCATTGCGCGGCGTTACCATTGCGCGGCGTTACCATTGCGCGGCGTTACCATTGCGCGGCGTTACCATTGCGCGGCGTTACCATTATGCGGCGTTACCATTACGCGGCGTTACCATTACGCGGCGTTACCATTACGCGGCGTTACCATTACGCGGCGTTACCATTACGCGGCGTTACCATTACGCGGCGTTACCATTACGCGGCGTTACCATTATGCGGCGTTACCGTTACGCGGCGTTACCGTTACGCGGCGTTACCGTTACGCGGCATTACCATTACGCGGCATTACCATTACGCGGCGTTACCATTACGCGGCGTTACCATTACGCGGCGTTACCATTACGCGTCGTTACCATTACGCGGCGTTACCATTACGCGGCGTTACCATTATGCGGCGTTACCATTACGCGGCGTTACCATTACGCGGCATTACCATTACGCGGCATTACCATTACGCGGCGTTACCATTACGCGGCGTTACCATTGCGCGGCGTTACCATTGCGCGGCGTTACCATTGCGCGGCGTTACCATTGCGCGGCGTTACCATTGCGCGGCGTTACCATTGCGCGGCGTTACCATTGCGCGGCGTTACCATTATGCGGCGTTACCATTACGCGGCGTTACCATTACGCGGCGTTACCATTACGCGGCGTTACCATTACGCGGCGTTACCATTACGCGGCGTTACCATTACGCGGCGTTACCATTACGCGGCGTTACCATTACGCGGCGTAACCATTACGTGGCGTTACCATTACGCGGCGTAACCATTACGCGGCGTTACCATTACGCGGCGTTTCCATTACGCGGCATTACCATTACGCGGCATTACCATTACGCGGCATTACCATTACGCGGCGTTACCATTACGCGGCGTTACCATTGCGCGGCGTTACCATTGCGCGGCGTTACCATTGCGCGGCGTTACCATTGCGCGGCGTTACCATTGCGCGGCGTTACCATTGCGCGGCGTTACCATTATGCGGCGTTACCATTACGCGGCGTTACCATTACGCGGCGTTACCATTACGCGGCGTTACCATTACGCGTCGTTACCATTACGCGGCGTTACCATTACGCGGCGTTACCATTATGCGGCGTTACCATTACGCGGCGTTACCATTACGCGGCGTTACCATTACGCGGCGTTACCATTACGCGTCGTTACCATTACGCGGCGTTACCATTACGCGGCGTTACCATTACGCGGCGTTACCATTACGCGGCGTTACCATTACGCGTCGTTACCATTACGCGTCGTTACCATTACGCGGCGTTTCCATTACGCGGCGTTTCCATTACGCGGCATTACCATTACGCGGCATTACCATTACGCGGCATTACCATTACGCGGCGTTACCATTGCGCGGCGTTACCATTGCGCGGCGTTACCATTGCGCGGCGTTACCATTGCGCGGCGTTACCATTGCGCGGCGTTACCATTGCGCGGCGTTACCATTGCGCGGCGTTACCATTACGCGGCGTTACCATTACGCGGCGTTACCATTACGCGGCGTTACCATTACGCGGCGTTACCATTACGCGTCGTTACCATTACGCGGCGTTACCATTACGCGGCGTTACCATTATGCGGCGTTACCATTACGCGGCGTTACCGTTACGCGGCGTTACCGTTACGCGGCGTTACCGTTACGCGGCATTACCATTACGCGGCATTACCATTACGCGGCGTTACGCGGCGTTACCATTACGCGGCGTTACCATTACGCGGCGTTACCATTACGCGTCGTTACCATTACGCGGCGTTACCATTACGCGGCGTTACCATTATGCGGCGTTACCATTACGCGGCGTTACCATTACGCGGCCTTACCATTACGCGACGTTTCCATTACGCGGCATTACCATTACGCGGCATTACCATTACGCGGCGTTACCATTACGCGGCGTTACCATTACGCGGCGTTTCCATTACGCGGCGTCACCATTACGCGGCGTCACCATTACGCGGCGTTACCATTACGCGGCGTTACCATTACGCGGCATTACCATTACGCGGCATTACCATTACGCGGCGTTACCATTACGCGGCGTTACCATTGCGCGGCGTTACCATTGCGCGGCGTTACCATTGCGCGGCGTTACCATTGCGCGGCGTTACCATTGCGCGGCGTTACCATTGCGCGGCGTTACCATTGCGCGGCGTTACCATTATGCGGCGTTACCATTACGCGGCGTTACCATTACGCGGCGTTACCGTTACGCGGCATTACCGTTACGCGGCATTACCATTACGCGGCATTACCATTACGCGGCATTACCATTACGCGGCGTTACCATTACGCGGCGTTACCATTACGCGTCGTTACCATTACGCGGCGTTACCATTACGCGGCGTTACCATTATGCGGCGTTACCATTACGCGGCGTTACCATTACGCGGCCTTACCATTACGCGACGTTTCCATTACGCGGCATTACCATTACGCGGCGTTACCATTACGCGGCATTACCATTACGCGGCGTTACCATTACGCGGCGTTACCATTACGCGGCGTTTCCATTACGCGGCGTCACCATTACGCGGCGTTACCATTACGCGGCGTTACCATTACGCGGCGTTACCATTACGCGGCATTACCATTACGCGGCATTACCATTACGCGGCGTTACCATTACGCGGCGTTACCATTGCGCGGCGTTACCATTGCGCGGCGTTACCATTGCGCGGCGTTACCATTGCGCGGCGTTACCATTATGCGGCGTTACCATTACGCGGCGTTACCATTACGCGGCGTTACCATTACGCGGCGTTACCATTACGCGGCGTTACCATTACGCGTCGTTACCATTACGCGGCGTTACCATTACGCGGCGTTACCATTATGCGGCGTTACCATTACGCGGCGTTACCGTTACGCGGCGTTACCGTTACGCGGCATTACCATTACGCGGCATTACCATTACGCGGCATTACCATTACGCGGCGTTACCATTACGCGGCGTTACCATTACGCGGCGTTACCATTACGCGTCGTTACCATTACGCGGCGTTACCATTACGCGGCGTTACCATTATGCGGCGTTACCATTACGCGGCGTTACCATTACGCGGCCTTACCATTACGCGACGTTTCCATTACGCGGCATTACCATTACGCGGCGTTACCATTACGCGGCATTACCATTACGCGGCGTTACCATTACGCGGCGTTACCATTACGCGGCGTTACCATTACGCGGCGTTTCCATTACGCGGCGTCACCATTACGCGGCGTCACCATTACGCGGCGTTACCATTACGCGGCATTACCATTACGCGGCATTACCATTACGCGGCGTTACCATTACGCGGCGTTACCATTACGCGGCGTTACCATTGCGCGGCGTTACCATTGCGCGGCGTTACCATTGCGCGGCGTTACCATTGCGCGGCGTTACCATTGCGCGGCGTTACCATTGCGCGGCGTTACCATTGCGCGGCGTTACCATTATGCGGCGTTACCATTACGCAGCGTTACCATTACGCGGCGTTACCGTTACGCGGCATTACCATTACGCGGCATTACCATTACGCGGCATTACCATTACGCGGCGTTACCATTACGCGGCGTTACCATTACGCGGCGTTACCATTACGCGTCGTTACCATTACGCGGCGTTACCATTACGCGGCGTTACCATTATGCGGCGTTACCATTACGCGGCGTTACCATTACGCGGCCTTACCATTACGCGACGTTTCCATTACGCGGCATTACCATTACGCGGCGTTACCATTACGCGGCATTACCATTACGCGGCGTTACCATTACGCGGCGTTACCATTACGCGGCGTTTCCATTACGCGGCGTCACCATTACGCGGCGTTACCATTACGCGGCGTTACCATTACGCGGCGTTACCATTACGCGGCATTACCATTACGCGGCATTACCATTACGCGGCGTTACCATTACGCGGCGTTACCATTGCGCGGCGTTACCATTGCGCGGCGTTACCATTGCGCGGCGTTACCATTGCGCGGCGTTACCATTGCGCGGCGTTACCATTGCGCGGCGTTACCATTACGCGGCGTTACCATTACGCGGCGTTACCATTACGCGGCGTTACCATTACGCGGCGTTACCATTACGCGGCGTTACCATTACGCGTCGTTACCATTACGCGGCGTTACCATTACGCGGCGTTACCATTATGCGGCGTTACCATTACGCGGCGTTACCATTACGCGGCGTTACCGTTACGCGGCGTTACCATTACGCGGCGTTACCATTACGCGGCGTTACCATTACGCGGCGTTACCATTACACGGCGTTTACGCGGCGTTACCATTACGCGGCGTTACCATTACGCGGCGTTACCATTACGCGGCGTTACCATTACGCGGCGTTACCATTACGCGGCGTTACCATTACGCGGCGTTACCATTACGCGGCGTTACCATTACGCGGCGTTACCATTACGCGGCGTTACCATTACGCGGCATTACCATTACGCGGCATTACCATTACGTGGCATTACCATTACGTGGCATTACCATTACGAGGCGTTACCATTACGCGGCGTTTACTCGGCGTTACCATTACGCGGCATTACCATTACGCGGCATTACCATTACGCGGCATTACCATTACGCGGCATTACCATTACGCGGCATTACCATTACGCGGCGTTACCATTACGCGGCGTTACCATTACGCGGCGTTACCATTACGTGGCGTTACCATTACGCGGCGCTACCATTACGCGGCGTTACCATTACGCGGCGTTACCATTACGCGGCATTACCATTACGCGGCATTACCATTACGCGGCATTACCATTACGTGGCGTTACCATTACGCGGCGTTACCATTACGCGGCGTTGCCATTACGCGGCGTTACCATTACGCGGCGTTACCATTACGCGGCGTTACCATTACGCGGCGTTACCATTACGTGGCGTTACCATTACGTGGCGTTACGATTACGTGGCGTTACCATTACGCGGCATTACCATTACGCGGCGTTACCATTACGTTGCGTTACCATTACGTGGCGGAAGTCTTTTTGAGTCGCATCCTTCCTCAACCAACTCTCTGTGTCTCCTCGACCCCCCAGCGCTCCCCCACCCGCCCAGCGCCCACCGCTCCACCCAGCAGACGCGGAACTCCTGAGGGATGACGATGCGAGTGTGAAGCACAGGGAGGGCGCGGGGGGAGCAGCAGGGGGCGCGGGCGGGACGGGCGCGCTGAGAGTGAAGGAGAGGCCTACAGATGCTGGGCTGAGCTGGCTGGTGCACACTCAGTACATCTCTGCTGCTGGCTCTGGCAGTGCTCCCAAGAAGGTGAGTGTTGGTTTTGGGGGAAATGGGAGGGGCGGCGCGGCGCACAGTGAGTGGGAGGGCGCGGGGGCAGCAGCAGGGGGGGCGGGCGGGACGGGCGCGTTGAGACGCTGGGTTGAGCTGGCTCGTGCACACTCAGTACATCTCCGCTGCTGGCTCTGGCAGTGCTCCCAAGAAGGTGGGTTGGTTATCCCCCTGTTCGTGTGGATAACTCAAAGAGAGACCTCATGCTGTTGCCATTGGGCTCGCTGCCATGGGGCTGGCTGGGGCTGGCTGGGGCAGGACCTCTTCATCTGTGAACTTTTTACTTTTCAGTTGACTTCTAAGCTTGCTCACTCTGATAGCTCACTGTTTTCGCTGTTTTGTCTCCACTCTCCTCTCCCTCTCGGTGTGTGACTGTACAGAGGGTGCTTAATGAGAAGGAGGCGAAGCTGCTGGCGCTGCAGCTGGAGCTGGCAGATGAGCAGATATACAGTACAAGGTGAGTGTACATCTTAAGGTACATGTGTATATATATATAAAAATATATATATATATATATATATATAGACAAGCGAGTCCAATTGGTCATGCACATTGCTTCGCGTTTCCCCTCACCTGCCCTTTCAGTTGACTCAAACTGACTCAAGGCTTTCCCTGCCGGCCCCCCTTTCCCCCTGGACCCTTTTCCCATCCCTCCCAGGGAGGGGCAGATCCGGTACATCGAGGAATCTTTTCAGGCTGCCCGGAAGCCGCCCGTGCACCCGTCGAACCCGGCCCTTGAGGCAGTGGAGGTGCTGCCGGTGCTGCCGCTCTTCTCCCTGGCCGGCCGCCAGTTTGTGCATCTCGTGTTTGACGACACTCCTCTGGCTGACTCGCCTGCACACATGCACTTGAAGGAGGAGCAGAAGAAGGAGATGGAGGCGCGGGTGAGTGTTCGTGCAAGGTGGATGGGTTTTCCCCGGGGGATTTAAGGCAGGTGGTGGGATGGGATGGACTGGGTTGCTGCCCGCCCGTGCACCCGTCGAACCCGGCCCTTGAGGCAGTGGAGGTGCTGCCGGTGCTGCCGCTCTTCTCCCTGGCCGGCCGCCAGTTTGTGCATCTCGTGTTTGACGACACTCCTCTGGCTGACTCGCCTGCACACATGCACTTGAAGGAGGAGCAGAAGAAAGAAATGGAGGCGCGGGTGAGTGACTCTTCTGGAGGGAGGGGCGTTCTGCTTTGTCTCGTACAGTACAACACACACTATCACACATGCACCCAAGCATTTCCTCCATCCCTCCCTCCCTGCCTTCCTCCGTGCATCCCTCCGGACCCTCACTGCCTCCGTCCCTCGCCTTTGCCTCCCTCCCCCCCCATCTCCAGGCGATAATGAAGAATTTCAAGGTGGCAGCACCAGGAGGAGGGTTTTTTAGGCGCCTCAAAAATTGCCTCCGTCCCTCGCCTTTGCCTCCCTCCCGCCCCATCTCCAGGCGATAATGAAGAATTTCAAGGTGGCAGCGCCAGGGGGAGGGGAGCCGCAGTCGTTCGTGGCATATATGGTGCCCAACAAGCGCGAGGTGAGGCCCATTGACTGAGGTTGACTGGGGTTGAGTGAGGTTGAGTGAGGTTGAGTGAGGTGAGCCACACACCCACCCACCTTGGAAGGGGAGGGAGCCACAGTCCTTTGTGGCATATATGGTGCCCAACAAGCGGGAGGTGAGGCCCATCGACTGAGGTTGGCTGGGGTTGACTTCTGAGGCGCCTCAAAAGGGGGAGGGGAGCCACAGTCATTCTTGGCATACATGGTGCCCAACAGACGCGAGGTGAGGCCATTGAGTGTATGAATGCATGCATGCACGAATGTTCATTCATTGGCATTTGACTGTTTTTCTTTCTTAACCTCCAAGGTTCATCATGGAGTAGCTGCAAACCTGTTTTTCTTTCTTAACCTCCCCTTTCTTAACCTCCCCTTTCTTAACCTCCCCTTTCTTAACCTCCCCTTTCTTAACCTCCCCTTTCTTAACCTCCCCTTTCTTAACCTCCCCTTTCTTAACCTCCCCTTTCTTAACCTCCCCTTTCTTAACCTCCACTATCCCAATTTTCATGTTTCTTTCCCTCGTGTCTTGGCTCTGGGTGCAGTTGGGTAAAAAGCTGAGGGAGGGGGAGAGTGCGCGCTATGACTGGGTGCGAGAATACCACTGGAAGGTACGTACGGCTGCATGCATGGTATTTTACGAGTAAGAACTATAAACTTTTCTGTCTTCCCAACATCAGCCCCCCCCTTTAGTGATATCCAAAGGCTATTAGTCTGTATCTCCTCAAAACCCCCCCTCCCCTCTTGTCTTTTCCAAACCCTGTCTTGATTCGAAGTCCCTTTCCTACCTTCTTCCCTCCTCTAACGCCCCCACCCCTTCACTTACACTCCACATGTTTCTCACTCTTTAACTCTTCCAGGTGGCCAAGGGGGAGCAAGGGCGAGAAATCTTCTCCTTCCCGACCCAACCCAACCCCTCTGCACCCCTTCACTTACACTCCACCTGTTTCTCACTCTTGCTCTCCCAGGTGGCCAAGGGGGAGCAAGGGCGAGGAACCTTCCTCTTCTGTTTCAACAAGGACAGTGTGACTTACCTTGTGAGTCAGCTCCTAGGTCAAAACTTGCATTGTGAGTCAGCTCCTAGGTCAAACCTTGCATTGTGAGTCAACTTCTGGGTCAAACCTTGCATTGTGAGTCAACTTCTGGGTCAAACTTTGTGTTGTGAGTCAACTTCTAGGTCAAACTTTGTGTTGTGAGTCAACTTCTAGGTCAAACTTTGTGTTGTGAGTCAACTCCTGGGTCAAACCTTCTATTGTGCATGGATGTGCCTGCAATGGAAACGTGCTTGTACCTTCCTCTTCTGTCAACAAGGACAGTGTGACTTACCTTGTGAGTCAACACCTCCTGGGTCAAATTTTACCTTGTGTTGTGGGAAAACTTCTGGGGAAAAGCTTGTGTTGTGCATGAATGTGCCTGCAATGCAACCAAGCTCGTGCCCCTGTTGCTTGCTCATTCCTTTCTTTCACACTGTCGCTGTATTGGTGCGACTTTTGAGGAATCTCAAAAGAATGTGCCTGCAATGCAAACAAGCTCGTGCCCCTGTTGCACACTGAATGTGCCCCAGGGGCACGAGCACACTGAATGTGCCCCTGCTCATTCCTTTCTTCCACACTGTCGCTGCAAACTCAACACAAGTAGGGCACTTCGCATCAAGACAAATCTTCTCTCCAGTCTCTGAAATATTTATTGGAAAGAAAAGAGCGTCAATGATCAACCGTCTCTTTCTCTCTGTCCTCGCATCATGCGTCCGTGCAACCTCGATTCCTCCCCATCTCTCCCCACCTCGTCTCATCTCTCCTTAACTCTCCTCATCCCTCCTCATCTCTCTGCTCGTGATCTCCCCCTGTTCGCTCCCACCTCCCAGCCAATCAACACAAAGCTCACAGTGGCAAAGAGAAAGGCCAAGGAGGGAGGCAAGGCGAAGGGCGAGGAGGGAGAGAGAGTGGAGCTGCCCGTTCCCTCCAAGGTACTGTGCTGTGTTTGTCGCCCACGTGTTGTGTTCACCGGCCAGATGTTGCGCTTGCCGCCCACATGTTGTGTTTGCCGCCCAGAGTGCAGAGTGTTTTTGTGATGCATCGGTTTCAGATTTGTGCAGCGGAAGCATATGTGACACTTTTTGGTGGATGTGAAAACATGTAATCTCTCCCCCCCCTCTCCGCCCCCCACCCCCCCTCCGCCCCCCCCCGGTTCCGCACGCTTTTGAAATTGAAAACTGCGTGCCATTGCCCCCGTTTCTGCAAACTTTCCGCTGCCGCCCTTCCATACATTAGATCACCGTGCGGAACCGATCGGGGGAAGACGCAGAGGAGGAGGATGAGGGAGGCGAGAGGCGGCGACGTGCAGTGGAGAGGGAGGAGGATGAGGAGGAGGAGGAGCATGAGGGACGGAGAGGGAGGGGAGCGAGGCGGGGAAGAGACGAGGAAGAGGAGGAAGAGGAGGAGGAAGAGAGGAGGGAGAAGAGGCGGAGGTATGGGAGTGAGGAGAGAGAGGAGAGGGGTGAGAGGGGGGGGAGGGGGGAGAGGGGAAGTGGTGGGAGGGCGGATGGGAGTGATGATGAGGGAGACGGGCGGAGGAGGCAGCAGGAGCATAGGGCAGACAGTGGCAGTAGTGGTGGTGGTGGGGGGACGAGGGGTGGAAGGGGTGGTGGTGGGGATGGGGGCAACAGTGAGAGTGAGAGTGAGAGGAGGGGGAGAGGGGAGGAGGATGAGCGAGGAGGGAGACAAGGAGGGGCGAGATTTGAGAGTGACGAGGAGAGAGGGGAAGGGGGGGGTAGAGGTCACAGACGCGGGATTATTGAGAGCGATTCCGAGTAATTCGTTTCAAGTGATTCTAACTGGTTCCGTGTGATCCAGTGGTGTTCAGAGTGAGTGAGTGATTCTGATCAGTTGCCGTGGGACCAGAAATGAGACTGCCACGGTGAAGAATCTTCAGAGACTGCGAGAGGGAAGGCTGGGGGAGATGGGAGAGGTGGGTGGGAGAGGTGGGAGAGGTGGGTGGGAGAGGTGCGAGAGGTGGCAGATCCAGGCGGAAAACAGGAGTGCTTTGGTGTGGTAACCAGATGGCACTTGGTGGTGCTGCTGCTGATGAGGAATGGTGACTGGATAGATCAGCTTAGCAGGTTCTAGACTTGCCTCACTAAATGCTCCCCTTTGTTGGCATGAGACACCCTAGAGGGCACACTGAAAGATGGAATTGCTCCGTTAGAACGGGCATTATAAGTTCACAAACCAACTCTCTGCCTCAAGTCTCGTAACACCTTGCCGTTCCTTTATGTGGCTGCCTTGTTGTAGTGGTACTGGTGGTATGCATTGTGAATGATGTACCGGTATGAAAGAACTCATGGGCAAGGGGTGAGGGTGTGCGGGTACACAAAGATTTACCGCTACAAGTAACAGTTCCTCCTCCGATCTGAGCTGGTAGTACTGGTAGTTGTTCATGTTGACAAAAAAACTAAGAATTATTAGAAACGGGCATACAAAGGGGTACAAGTAGCAACCCATACCTTCTCAAGTACAACCCAACATATGGTAGCCTAACAAATGTACACCTACAAATGTATAGTTTACTTTGACACACCACCTACACTAAGTAAGGGGCAGTGCCAAGAAGACGAGAATCAGCTCAGGGCGGCACTACTAGTCTAGCCTCTGAGGCAAGAGGCCACAAGGCAAGAACACCAAAATGTATGAGGTACAACTTGGAGCGGTACCACTAGAACAGCTCTGAGACAAAAGGCCACAAGGCCAGTCAATGAGTATAAACAGACAAAATCACATCAAGTGAGGTCCTAACAAGTGAGGTCCTTCTGGGACAAGGCCAAGCTGTGTCCAGAGTCGCTGATGATCACAAGACGGGAGCGCCTTGGTGAAAATATCAGCGGTGTTGGCTCCTGAGGCCAAGTGTACTACGCGTGCCTGGCCGCGCTGCTGCAGCTCACGCAGCAGGAAGTACTGTAGCTGGATGTGCTTCGCCTTGCCCTCTAGTCGAGGCTCCTGACAGTGGAGGATCATGGCCATGTTATCAACGAACAGGACTGGGGCAGAGCTAGGCGGCTCACTAATTCAGTGAGCAAGAACGTCAGCCAGTGGAGCTCCTGAGCAGCCATAGCACTCGCGTAGATCTCTGCCTCACAGCTCGACTGTGCCACCGACGACGAGCGAGTGGACCTCCACGAGACAGCCCCGGCGCCAAGGCTAAAGCAGTAGCCCTGAGAATGCCTGAGAGTCTCGATGTCGTCTTCCCACAACGCGTCAGTATGTCCCGTGAGTGCAATTGGCAATCGTCCTTCGAGCACAAGCCCCATGCCTGATGTACTAGCCAGATAGCGCAATACCCTCTTAGCAGCCGACCAGTGCTCAATTCGGCGTCTCCTAGTCGCAACAAAGCGAGCAAGGATGCTGAGTGGATGTGCGAGAACTGGACGAGTGCAGATAATCAGGTAGACGAGGCACCCCACTAGCTCTACGTTCTGACCACTGGGCTCAACAGGGTCCGAGAGCGTGTGGCCAACAGGCAGAAGAGTGGGCTGTGCAGAGGAGAACTGAAGGCCCGGAGAGGCGGGTGGTTGTCGCGTGGAGACGCCGTGCAATGTATCGTTGCCGTCCTGCCATCCACCATCTCGTTGCCGTCCTGCCATCCGCCATCGTGTTACCGTGGGAGCACGACAAGGTCACGTACCATGTCGTGATGAGCCTCAAGTTCCATTTCTCTCCTCGTCTTCCTTGCTTTGTCCTGAAGGAGCTCAACGAGCTAAATAAGAAGTTTCAACGCCGAGCGGTGAGTGTGTCCTCTATCACGTTCAGGCAGGCTCATATTGAACATGACTAACCATCACCGTTTTCACTATGATGCAGGACATCACCCGAGTTGTGGGGATGGTACAGAACACCTGCGAGAAGCTGAGGGCACGCTACGTGGAGCACGATGTCAACTTTCGCCGAGGACAGCGAAAACCTCACCTCGTTTCTCGAACAGCACACCACTCCATCCCGACCTCTGGTTACAGTGGAGGGGATGGACGGAGAGGGCAACGCTGTAGCATATCGCTTGAAGCTTCACGAGATATGTTTCTGTTCTAGGTTGTACCAAGGTTTTATTGCACAATCGTTTGTTTAAAATAATGCCGGTTCTTGTCCTCCTTTCTGACGGATGCCGAGGACCTCCTGGTCCCTTGGTACTGGTGGCTAACGCGGCACGCTAGTCAAAAATCTGATGCCACTTCATGTAATTGTTCAGACGGAGATTCCTGAATTTTTGCACGGAACAAAATATTGTGGGATACACGTCTCTGTGATTGTGTTGTGGAGAAAATCCTTGGTAAGTGTAGTATTTCGAATCAACATTGTCAAACACATGGGAAACAGTATACCTTCTTTCACAAGCAAGTGCGTTTAACTCTTGACTTGATCACTCGTTGGAAAATAATAGTTGATATGATTCACCATGGAGCGCCTCTATCCGACAAATGATTTCCTCTTCTTCCTCAACTGCGCTCCCCTTCAAATATTTCCTAACCTGCTCATGGCTAAAAGGAATGTCTTCACAGCCCAGCAATCTAGTCACACCTGTGCTCCCTTTCCCTAGTGTCCCCTCTTCCCCAACTACCTCTGCCGTTGCCCTGGCGCCCTCTCTCCCTTCTGTGGTATCTCTAGCTCCTACTACACTCTCGCTATAAGCCACCCTCAGCCGTCCTAATAACGAATCAGCACTACTCCAGGTCTGCCTTAAAGGGCAGGCACACGCTTCGGAAGGGGAATTGGTTCCATAAAGCCCGCAAACGCCCTTCTCGTGAATTCTAGTCCTACCAAACTTGTCGAAGTACTGTAGAAAGGTTATAACGTGTGAGGGTGTACACTTTGCAAGGGGAACTGGGGGTTGATGGCGCTGCAGGTACTGGTTGAAGGAATCCCAGTCACGAGTCTTTTGTGCTGCATACCGACTCCTGTGACTCTTTCCTCCCATCCGCTCTCCAGAGGTATTTGCCGGCTTCTCTTGCGGCACCTGTTGTTTTGATGGCTGATTTTGTGGCTGCTGCTGCTCCTGCTGCGGCTCCTCTTGCTGCTTCTCCTCCTGCTGATGCTGCTGCACCTGCTCCTGCTGGTGGTGGTGCTGCTGCTGCTGCTGCTGCTGCTGCTGCTGCTGCTGCTGCTGCTGCTGCTGCTGCTGCTGCTGCTGCTGCTGCTGCTGCTGCTGCTGCTGCTGCGGTCGCTTCCATTGCCGTTCCCTCTGTTGCTCCTGCTTCTGCTGCCGCTGCCTTTCCTGTTCCCTCTGTTGCTGCTGCTACTGCTGATGCTGCTGCGTTTGCTGTTTCTTTTGTTGCTGCTGCTGCCAATGCTGTTGCTGTTCTGTCTGTTGCTGCTGATGCTGCTGCAGATCCATCTCGCTCTGTTCCTCCTGCAAGTTGAGTGATGTGTTTCCCACCATGTCGTCCAGCACCACCGCCCCAATTCCGTCCACCATCCAGTTGCAAAGATGCCTCATGCTGATAGAAGCAACACTGGAGTAGGGCGCACTAGAGTACGGCACACTGGGAGAAGGTACACCAGGGGAAGGTACACCAAGGGAAGGTACACCAGGGGAAGGTACTCCAGGGGAAGGTACACCAGGGGAAGGTACACCAGGGGAAGGTACACCAGGGGAAGGTACACCAGGGGAAGGTACACCAAGGGAAGGTACACCAGGGGAAGGTACTCCAGGGGAAGGTACACCAGGGGAAGGTACTCCAGGGGAAGGTACACCAGGGGAAGGTACACCAGGGGAAGGTACACCACGGGAAGGTACACCAGGGGAGGGTACACCAGGGGAGGGTACACTCGGAGAAAATGAACTAGGAGTGGGCACAGCCAAAGAAAGAAGCATGTCTGCCAGAGATGACCTAGGTAGGTTTCGCTGGCAAGGGAGTGGATCGGAGAAGGATTTGTGATGGAGCGGTGCATTGGGAGCATGACTAGGCTGATGTGGAGGCGAGTCTGCCAACGAGGCTTGTGAATACAAGTGAGAGGGATCTGCAGACAGGGACCTGGGGTGAGGCTGGGAGTAAGGGGTGGGATGGAGGGTGGGCAAGGGCGTGGGTTGGGGATGGATGGGCTGGGAATGGTTGGGTTGGGAATGGTTGGGATGGGGCTGGGAGGATTGAGAGGAGGTTTGAGAGTACAAGTGAGAGGGCTCGGCAGACAAGGACCTGGGGTGAGTCTGGCCATAGGAGGTGGGACGGAGGTTGGCTAAGGGCGTGGGTTGGGGACGGGTGGGCTGGGTCCGGGTGAATTGGGGCTGAATGGGTTGGGGCCGATAAAGAGCCTCGATAGATGTGCCTGTGACTCGGTGGCTGGGAGGATGTGCGTCCATGGCTTTGGGCCATGTAGTTTCTGTGAGCCATGCAGTTGCTGTGGGCAATGCAGCTGCTACAGCTGGTGGCGCTTGACCTGCTACAGCTGGTGGCTCTTGACCTGCTACAGCTGGTGACGCTTCCCCTGCTACATCTGATGGCTTGCTAGCTGCTACAGCTGGTGGCACTTGAACTGCTTCAGCTGGTGGCAATTGACCTGCTACAGCTTGTGGCACTTGACCTGCTACAGCTGGTGACTCTTCCCCTGCTACAGCCGATGGATCGATAGCTGCTACAGCTGGTGGCTGTTGAGCTGCTACTGCTGATAGTCCACTGCAAACCGGTAGTATGAAGAGTGTCCCACTGGCTCCTTTGTTGCATGTACCAGCAGCTGCAGCAGCTGCAGCGGCTGTAGCAGCTGCAGCGGCTGTAGCAGGAGGAGGCAAAGTAGGAGGATGTGTTGTGCCCGTACCAGCTGTAGCTGCAACACCTGTGGCAGCAACATCTGCACCTTCAAGAACACTGCATACAAGTGCTGGGCTGCTGCTGCTGCTGTTGCTGCTGCTGCTGCTACTGCCGCCAATGGAGCCTCGGCTTCTGCTCCCACTCCCCCTCTCACTCCCCCTCTCAATCCCCCTCTCACGCTCCCTCTCACTCCCCCTCTCACTCCCACTCTCACCATCACTCCCGCACACACTCGTACTTGCCTCCTGAACCCTATTCCTACCCACTCCGCCACTCCCTGCCCCACTCCCCATCCCACCGCCTCTCCCACTCCCTCGTTCCTCTCTGCTTGTGCTCGTGCATTCCCTCCCACCGCTCAAAACGCCTGGCTCATGCACTTGACCATCCATGTGCGCTGCTGGGGATAATCCTTGCCCCATGAATGTGCTGTGCACATGCACTGTATCCATGTGCGCTGCTGAGGATGATCCTTGCCCCATGAACGTGCTGTGAACATGCACTGGAGGATGTCCTGCTGACGTGGCCATGATCCCAGGCCTGCCCATCTGCAGGCTCGGCTCTGCACTGCTTCTGCCTTGGATGGTGGAGGAACGGGGTGCAAGCATCATGCTTAGATCCAGCATGCTGCTGCTGCGAGCCATGCTGCTGCTGTTGTGTATGGAGCTGCTGTGGACCATGCTGATGCTGCTGCTGTCGGGTGTGTCACGTGGATAGGTGCTGCTTCGGCCAAGCAGCAGGTTTGGAATGATGCTGCTCACATCCCCGTACCTCGCCCGTACCGTGCCGAGGCTCTGGTTATTGTCAAGAGTTTCAGGCGCCTGCACTTGAGGGTCTTGGTTAGTGGCAGGCAGATGGGTAGTGGCAGGTAACTGGCTGGGGAGCTGGCTGGGAAGCAGGTTGGGAATGATGCCGCTAACATCCCCATACCGTGCCCGCACAGTGTGGCTGCGCTGGTATCCAGGCTCTTCAGTCCCCTGCATTTGAGGGCCGTAGTTACTGGCAGGGAGATGGGTGCTGGCAGGGAGATGGGTGCTGGCAGGGAGATGGCTTGTTGGATCCCCACCATCATTCTGCAGCCTTGACTGGTGGCTGTTGAAATCCACTCCATACTTCCACGGTTCCCCTTCTAAGATTTGCGGTTGTGCTGAGCCTGCCTGCTGTGCCAACCCTGGCTGCTGTGCCAAGTACAACTGCGGTTCCAAGCCTGGTTGCTGAACCAAGCCTGTCGGCTGTTCCGAGCCTGACTGCTGCACCAAACCTGGCTGCTGCACCAAGCCTGACTGCTGCACCAAACCTGGCTGCTGCACCAAACCTGGCTGCTGCACCAAACCTGACTGCTGCACCAAACCTGGCTGCTGCACCAAGCCTTGCTGCTGCACCAAACCTGTCTGCTGCACCAAACCTGTCTGCTGCACCAAACCTGTCTGCTGCACCAAACCTGTCTTCTGCACCGAACCTGGCTGCTGTACCAAACCTGGCTGCTGCACCAACCCTGAATGGTGGAAGTGGGATGTCTCCGCCAGAATGTGTTGATGGTTGTCTGCAGCTGGTACTGTGGAGAGGGAGAGGCTATGAATGCCTAAATATAGCTCATCATCAGCACAGCAATCTGTGTGATCAAGCCCATGAGTCGTGCTGTTCGGAGGGGCTGTATGCATGCTCTGCAGTGGGTGCTCTGACAGTTGAGATGGCCCAGTTGGGATATGTGATGAACTTTCTGGGAGATTGAAGGGATGAGTTGCCAGCTCGTGCATATGAACAGAAAGCTCCATGGTTTGAGTTGGCTGTTGCATGGTATGTCCTGGCTGTTGCATGGTTTGTCCTGGCTGTTGCATGGTTTGTCCTGGCTGTTGCATGGTTTGTCCTGGCTGTTGCATGGTTTGTCCTGGCTGTTGCATGGTTTGTCCTGGCTGTTGCATGGTTTGTCCTGGCTGTTGCATGGTTTGTCCTGGCTGTTGCATGGTATGGCTTGGCTGCTGCATGGCCTGCCTTGGCTGTTGCATGGCCTGCCTTGGCTGTTGCATGGCCTGCCTTGGCTGTTGCATGGCCTGCCTTGGCTGTTGCATGGCCTGCCTTGGCTGTTTCACAGACCCGTTTCCCTTGCCCATATGCCCCTCCATCCCTTTTCCCCTGCTCCCCTGCACGCCCATGTCATTTCCCCTGCCCAATTGGTTCTGTGACCAATCCTCCCTGGCGATGTTTTCCCGTGAACCATCCTCCCTGCCCGTTTTCTCCCCAGATCGATTCCCGAACGGCATGAATATTTCAGGAGACGTCAGGAAGCCAGGCTGTTGGGCCCGTCCCATCTGCATCTGCCTCGGCTGCTGCTGCTGCTGCTGCTGCACAGGAACCACTGCCCCACTCCCTTCACCACCGCCCCTCCCAGCACTGCGCCCAAAAGACTTGAAAACTGCAGGGGACGGCAGGAAGCCAGGCTGCTGCTCCCATTCCCTCTGCTGCTGCACCCATTGCCTCTGCCTCTGCCTTTGCTGCTGCTGCACTGGTTCCACTGCCTTACCCCTTTCACCAACATTCTGCCCTTGCTCCAGTTTCAGCGCATTCCCAGTGCAGCTGTGTTGAGGCGCCCCAGGCCTACAACTGGGGCTGCTTCCCTGCTCTGGTCCCACCAGGCCTCTGTAATCATCCCCATTGTTATGGCCATATGCCTCTGAACTCAAGGTGGTCCCAGAGATAAAATGCAGGACTGCTTCTTGTTGGGAATTATTTTTGGCATTATTGTCGCATAGGGTAGAGTTTTTGCAGCTTGGAAGTTGGAATTGGGAAGGATATGCTGCAGCTTCCGACTCGATATAATGCTGCTGCTCTTTCCGCCACTGCTGCTCCTGCTTCTGCTGCTGCTGCTGCTGCTGCTGCTGCTGCTGCTGCTGCTGCTGCTGCTGCTGCTGCTGCTGCTGCTGCTGCTGCTGCTGCTGCTGCTGCTGCTGCTGCTGCTGCTGCTGCTGCTGCTGCTGCCGCTGCTGCTGCCGCTGCTGCTTCTGCTGCTGCTGCTGCTGCTGCTGCTGCTGCTGCTGCTGCTGCTGCTGCTGCTGCTGCTGCTGCTGCTGCTGCTGCTGCTGCTGCTGCTGCTGCTGCTGCTGCTGCTGCTGCTGCTGCTGCTGCTGCTGCGCTGCTGCTGCTGCTGCTGCTGCTGCTGCTGCTGCTGCTGCTGCTGCTGCTGCTGCTGCTGCTGATGCTGCTGCTCTCTCACACCGACTGTGCTAAAATCTTCTGAGAAAAGAGAGTCATGACACGAACCTGCTGTAGCGGAAATGGTGGATGCAGGAGCAGCAGGAGCGCCAGCACCTGTAACGGCACATGTGGATGCAGCAGGAATGTCGGCAGCTGTAGCGGCAATTGTGGGTGAAGGAGCAGAAGGAATGTCGGAAGCTGCTGCGGGAATGGTGGTTAATGGAGCATCAGGATCGCTAGCAGCTGTAGCGGCAAATGTGGATGCAGGAGCAGCAGGAACACCAGTGGCTGTAGCAGCAAATGTGAATGCAGTAGCAGTAGAAGTGAAAGTGTTTGAAGCAGCAATTGTGGATGAAGGAGTAGCAGGAGCGCCAGCGGCTGCAGCAGCAAATGTGGGTACAGAAGAAGCAGGAGTGCGAGTGGCTGTCGGCACTCCTTGCACTGCTGCTGTTGCTCCCCCCACCCAACCAGGAGCTGGGCTTGCTGATATCGGTGGGATTGACAAGGGAGCGATCTCAGAACCAGCAACAGGCATGAGCATGTGCGTTGGCAGATTGCGCACGGAAACTGGAACCTCCGTACCTCTTTCTGTCTCTCCAAGAGGGTCACTCCAGTGGGGGGACATCCATCGAGCATGTTTGTCGTCATCGTTATTGCACGACGTAGGTGGCTGGTGTACGTTGACAGTTGATGCTGCATTCACGCCATCACAACTCGTGATGGTATGTGGCGGCGTGGGTGGCTGGTTGATGTTGAGTAGAGGAGCTTTGCCATCACTGGTGGCATGACCCATGATGGTAACTGGCTGCGTAGATAGCTGGTGCATATTGAACGAAGACTCTTCGGAAGAATTCGCGGCATCATCCTTCGTGATCATGCTGCTTGGCTGCTTGGTGTCTGGTTGGCAACCAGAGGCTGAGGTTGATGGTTGCGTGTTGACTCAGCCTGCTTCCCCCCTACGTGGACGTGGGAGAAATCAAGCATGGATGGAATAATGACTCATTATGAGTGAGTGAGTGAGGGAGTGAATGAGTGTATGTGTGTGTGTGTTTGTGTGTGTGTGTGTGTGTGTGTGTGTGTGTGTGAGAGAGAGAGAGAGAGAGAGAGAGAGAGAGAGAGAGAGAGAGAGAGAGAGAGAGAAAAGAGAGATGAACAAATCCAGATTGAGTAGCAGCGTCGCAATGCAGAGTGGCACTCAAGCAAAACATTCTTGAGAGGGTCGGAGGGAATGAGTAGTACTCACGAGCTGGCCACAGAGATCTCGGCCGTTGAACTTCACATGATTCCCCAGGTGGAAATTAGTAGCAGCCACCGATCGCACTATACAACCACCGATATTTTGAGATTTACCGAAGCGTGGCAAAAAAAATAGCTCTGGAAATTCGTAATTTCTGTAGGAGCTACTTCTAGTAGATGAGGCGATTTAATCTGGGTTTTAGTAGGGGCGGCCAGATTGCTTGTTTACTGACTGCATCTCTAAAAAGTTGGGTCCCACATCTGTCCCTCAAAGCACTTTCGGGATGGATGTGAGACAAAACCGCAGGTGACCTACAAGTGACTCCAAAGATGAAGTCTTTGGGTCTCAAAACTATCCCAAGGTTCGTGTCCCCAAAGACACTTTCAGGACAGTTTTGGGACAACACTATTGGGCTACATGGAGGATTCCGTGAAGACACTTCTGGGTTGGTAATAATTGCATTTGGGTTTCGTACATTTGGGTTTAAAGCCCCCATGCATTTTATGCACTACACTATTACACTGTCTATAAATGATTGAAATTGAAATTACATATGGGTACATCCATCTTGAATAGCATGTTATGATTGCACCCCAACGTATACAAATTCATGAAGCTTCCAGAATCCGAAGTCAATGAAACAAAGAAAAACAAGTATTAGTGAAATTACTCTGTTTTCATGATAACATACACAGAAATAACGCATTGAGTATTTCCTTCACCCAACGAGATCCGCAACTCTGAAGATGACAACAGGAATGCCTTAGAAAAAACTCCTTTTGATCGCCGATTATAAACCTGATAGTCAGTAGGTAAAAAAAAACGGCGGTTAAAAGAAGACATTAGAGAATTACACGGGTACGTACCATTTACGGAATCACGATATGCAAGTTCTTCAGATTTTGTTCTGTCCATTCGGATGATAAAACAATAATACAACAATGACAAGCGGAAGCAAAAACGAAGTAAATAATAACGTGGCAACTAAACAAAGCCAGAATGAGTACGTGCATGGTGAAGTTTCGGGTCGGGAATACCATGTGTCATTTGCGATGTCCTTGACAAGCTCTCATTTGCTGTCGTGAAACCCTGCCATGGATAGGGAAAAAAGGCACACAGAAACATATCGAAATGGGAAACACTAACATATTTAGTCGTTCATGCTGACGAGAAAAAAGAGTGTTTCATTAGCAACTAATATGCACAGCTCGTAATGTTGGTTATGGTGACGCAAAATGCGGTAGAACAAGAGTGAAACTAGAACGGCCGGAAAGATTGTTGAAACATACAACGAAGACACACGAGTAGAAGAACTAATAACAAGAAAAGAAATGAGAGAGAAAGCGACTGAACTACTCTTATCAATCTGCAAGATTGGGTTGTTCAGAGATGCAAAGGGTTTGGGAATCGATTCGCAGCGGTGATCCGGTTTGGGGTTAAACCATGAAGTGGTGGGCGCAGGTAGTTGAATATTCTGGTTGTGTGGTGGACGTTTTGCACTGACGCGATTTTTTTCAGTGCACGTGGAGGATTTCGGCGCAGCTGGCAGGTGCCACGTTTCATATTTTTCCTCGAATTCTAGACAGGTGGCGCACGGAACACTGTTCATCTCGGAATATCCCGAGTTACTGTTCATATCGAAGTATGCTTGACTTCGCCAATGACGATACGCGCGACTGTTACTTTCGAAGTGTTACAAACAGTACTGGAAGTTGCTAACAGAAGGTCAAGCGCAAATGAAAACGGAACAAGACTCGACGTTAAAGCCGCGGTGCAGATATCTTAAGAACAGTGACAAACAGTTTTTTGTCTTGTTCCTTCCTGGTCGCCAATTGGCTAGCGAGAGAGTAGATTGTGTTGCGATGAAGAGAAAAAGGAAACAACTGAGGCGAACCTCGCGAACCTCGAAAGTGAGGGGGAAGGGGAAGGGGTGGGGGGAGGGAAGGGGGGAACACACACGACAACGCGAAAATCGGAACCCATGAATACGCCGTCATCTCTACATTGCATAACGAAAGAGTTTGTATTTCAAATAATCTGAGTACCACACAAATATCATTTTCTGCGAATCAAAGGCACATTCGAGGATTTCAGAAAGATCAAAGTTTGGGGTGGTTGTTTCCTCTTTTTTTTTTGGGGTGCAACGAATGTACACATGGCAGGCAAACATGAATGTCTTTAAATCCTACATGGCATCTCCAAGATGAGCCAAACTTCACACCCCTCTGATCCATTATTGATGCAGCTGTCCACCGATAGCAGGGGGGGAGGGGGGTAGGGAAGGACACCAGCCGTAGAAGTGAAAAATGTTCGATGGGGAAATTGAATGGAGGGTTGGCAGAAACAGTGGGGTGCGCGAAGGTTCAAAGTGGTGGGGTGGGTGAAGGGAAGTAGTAGGGTGGGTGAAGGGAAGCAGCGGGGTGGGTGAAGGGAAGCAGCGGAGTTGGGAGCGGTGGAGCAGAGGGTTGGATGTCGTCACGTCTGCCACCGTCGCCACTTGACATCACTGCACACCGCCATCATTGCATCAGCTCGCTGCTGCTGCTCACAGTTACCGCGCTTGCAGGATGGGAACTGAGGTATGATGGGCTCGGGACAGTGGCAAAGCGAAACTATTGGCTGAGGGGACATAGTGGAAAGGGAAGGGTCGGATGTGGGGAATGGGGAGGGACAGGAGAGGGGGAAAGGGATGGCCGGGAGAGGGGTGAATGGTGGGATGGGATAGGGGGAAAGGGAAGGGATGGGAGAAAGGGAAAGGAAGGGTTTAGGAATCGGGGGATGCCTTGAAAGGACAAGGGTAGGGTAAAGGGTGGATGGTGGGGGAAGGAGGGACGGACACCGATGGAAGGAGGGACGGGGACGGGGGGAAGGTTTGAACGGTAACGGGAGAAAGGAGGGACGGCGGGAGTGGGGGAGAGGAGGATTGGTGGTGGAGAGACGGTGGGATCGAGCCGCTTGCTACCGTCGCGCCCAATCCTGCCTCCTGGGAAGGGCAAGAGGCCAAGGTATCGACGGACAAGGGGAGTTCGGGAATGGGGAGGCGTGGAACCGAAGGTGTGGCATAGGAGGATGTGTCATGGGGGATGGTGGCAGGGGGGAATGCCCTGGAACAAACAATCTCTCACGCTTGAACTAGGACAGGAATGGGATAGGACAGGGGGAAGGAGAAAGCGACAGGGGGAATGGGATAGGACAGGGGATGGACAGGAGAGGAGGGAAAGGGATGGCCATCAGAAGGGTGAATGGTGGGATGGGATAGTGGGAACGGGAAGGGATGTGAGAGAGGAAAAGGAAGGGTTCAGGAAAGGGGGAAATGAGCAGGAAAAGCAGCGACGGTAGTGGGGGAAAAGGGACGAATGGGGGCAAGGGGACGGATGAGAGCAGGGGGGAGCAGTGGGTTGGGAGAGGGGAAAGGAGGGAGGGAGAAGAAGGGGAGGGAAGGATAGGGGGACAGGGCAAAAAGAACAAGGGGGAGGATTAAGCATCAGGAGGAACGAAAACGATGAAAGGGAGGGAAGGACTAAGGGGAAAGGGAGAGAATGACAGGGGGAAAGGGTGGGAAGGACATGGAGGAAAGGAGGGAAGGACAGGGGGGAAGGGATAGAAGAAGTGGGGGAAAGGGAAAGAAGGACAAGGGCCTATAGCATCGATCGCTGCTCTTCCCACCCTTTCCCCCTGTCCTCCTCTCCCATTCCGGCCCTGTCTGCTCGCTACCCTTGCCTTCGCCGCATCGCTACCAATATCGCTCGCTAAAGCCGCTTGCGAGGTTTGGACGCGAGATGCTTCGCCACCGTCGGAACAGATGCTTCGCCCCGCTGCTCGCTAACGACACCCTGCTGCACGCTAACGTCGCCCCGCTGCTCGCTACTGTCGTTATCGCTGCTCACTATCGTCATTGCGCTGCTGTCGCCATGCTGTTCGCTACCATCGCAACCCTGCTCGCTGCTGTCGCAACCCTGCTCGCTGCCATCGCAACCCTGCTCGCTACCGTCGCCGCTCTGCTCGTTATCGTCGCCCCGATGCTGGCTACCGTCGCACCCAATCCTGCCTGTCGCCATCGTCGCTGCTTGCCACCGCCGATTCGTGAGAAATAGAGGGACGGGAGAGGGAAAACTGAACGACGACAGCGGAGGAAATCTAGCGCAATGCGCTACGGGTACGACTGCCGTGGTGTTTTTTTAGGTACGAAATAGCGCAGATATTCGAGCGCACACTAAGAGGCGAAGAATAGAGATAGATCTGAGGCGAATGGCTCTCAGTAGCCCTACGGGAAGGCACTTCAAGTTGGTAGTAACCTAGCCTAACGCGAGAGATTGCCGAGTTTGAGTAGTTTTGAGTTCAAGTTTCAAGTTTCAAGTTTGATGCCTGGCCCCCCCTTCATGCTGTTGTGCGGTGCTTTTCCGCAAGCCCT